CAAAAATACAAATTTTTATTTATGACTATTTGGCGATTATTGACTAAATATTTGATTTATAAATAAAAGCATTTAAAACATAAATCATGTAAAATAATAGCATAAGTGTATACTTAAAATTGTTTATGTTAGTTTAAAAGGTTTAGATTTGAATTTTGCTTTAAATCCAAGATTATCTAACATGAATTACAAAGATTTTCACTTAAAATCATTTAAAACAACAATAAGTCAAAGTTTAGATCTGTTAATATATTATTTAATTTTATGTATTAAATATAGTGAAACTAAAAACTTTTAAATGATTTCAAAAATATATTATAGTTATGTGTAAAATGATAGATAAATATCAGATTAGATATAAATGGTTATATAATATTTTTAAAAATATATATTTTAGTCATAACTGTTGTAAAATATACTAGATAATATTTTGGTTTTATTTTTTAGAAATTATTTAGGAAGTTACCAACATTACTAGAAATTTCTAGAAGTATATTTATAAATACACAGTACATAATTTTATTAGTAATTTTAAATAATTTCAAACACTAATTAGCATAAATTTGAATACATATACAGTATATTTGATTTGCAAATTTAGTTTTACTACTTTATATATTATATTAATTTTGTTTACTAAAATCAAACTAACTATAAATTTATACTTTATATATTTTATATAGTAATAGAAAAAGTATAGTAAATATCTTTAAAAAATTTACCATTATAATGATCATATTACATTAATATTTTTTATCACTATAACAAAAAATGTATAAATTATATTGTTGTTTATATGATTAATTTAAGATAAATATATTTTTGAAATTATTCAAATGCAATTTTTAACTGCAAACTTTAATTTTAAAAACTCAAATAATATATTTTATTTCTACATTAATTACAAAAATACCAATTAAATATTAATCTTATATTTAAATATATATTTATTATTAAATGTTTTTATTTGATAATACTTTTACTTTTTATTTGAATTTGAAAATAAAATAATAGTAAAAATTGTATAATAATTATTTACTATGCAGAAAATTATAAAAAAAATACTTATTATAAATAATAATATGTTAAAAACATTACGATTCACATCTAACTATTATGCATAACTTTTATATAATATATTATATATATGTTTATATGTATATATATATTATGTTGTATTGTATTATACAGTACAGTACAGTACCGGTATATATATATATATATATATATATATATATATATATATATATATATATATATATATATATATATATATATATATATATATATATATGGATAAAAATTTGAGTATTTAAAGAATATTTTTTTGAAGACATGTGTCAATGAATTCAGTGAAAGTGTTTTTATAAAAGAAAAGAATTGTATTATTATTTAGTAAATATATCTTAGAAAACACTTTAGACGTAATGATGAAAAAGTTGTCTCTGTTTGTGAAAAACTTGAAAATCTTTTCCACTCAATAAACTATAGACTTATATTTCTATTGATTTTTTTGCTTCACTTTTATGTTTAACATTTATAGGAATTTGATTTTTTAGTCATTTTAATCTAAAACAGAAATAAAATTGTTATATATTTAATGTCAATGCTTTATCCAGTTATAAAAAAGTTTATTATTTACATATTTTTTAAAAATAATTTAATGATATTTTTTTTAAATAACTTTGATATTTTTAAATTTAATTTTATAGTACAAACATCTAATGTTATATTTATAAAAATATGATATTATAAATAAGTAAAACAAAGTTATAAAGGGCATGCTTGAAGAATGGCCATACTATTGAAGGAAAGGGAGGGGTCAGTCATACAACAACACAATAGATAGTTACGATCTTTTTAGCAAATTTCTAGAGTTAAAAAAAGATCAAAAAAATTTCTTAAAATATTGATGCCCTTTAAAGGATTCCTCTTATTTATTCATATCTATAAAATCAATACACAGAGTATTTGCTTAAAAAATAGATTTTAAAAATCCACATAATATATACAATGCGTAAAATGCATAAAATTGTAATATACAAGTGAAGTAATTGAAAAATAAATGTAACTTTATTTATATCGACATATGTTGTTATTAATAACTGGGATTTTTCAAAAAATTTAATATAATCCTCAATCAATAGCATAACTTTAAAGTACTATATAACTATATTTTTCATTTTGAATCTCAAATTTAGATATTTTTAAAAATTATTTTGCATCACATGTTATGAAGTTTTGCTATTGAACATAATATAAAAAAAGATGTGACATTGTTTTGAATTATAAAATCATTGAATTTACATTAAATTAATTTTAGTATTGTATACTTCATATTATTATTATTATTATTATTATTATTATATTATGTGCCAATGAATATTTAATTTGAATTTTTATGCTTAAGAGTTATTAGTTATTTTGCAGAATTAATTTGGTAACACCTACTTATTTAATGACAAATTTCTGTATTTTATATAATATATTTAATGTTACGATATTTTTTTGGTTTATTATTGTTTTTATAATAAATCTATTTAATATAGTATTCTAAATAATATTTTAATATTACATAAATCAAAAATAATATTATTCATTAATTTATTTATTATTTATAAAATATTTAATTATATTCAATAGAATTGATTTTAGCAAGAATTAACATTTACCAATTTTCAATAATCTAATTTATTAATATAACCATGTTAAAAATTATGTTTATGATAATGATAAATAATAATATTTTATATATAAATAAAATATATAATTTTTAGAAATATTTTATTAAATAATTAAATCTTAAATTTTAAAAAATAAGATAAAACTTACATCTATATACTAGACTCTAGAGTCAGCGTCACATTTGTTTGGTTTGTTTGATGTATTAATTGTTTCATTTTGATTATTATCTTGTTGTTGACCACAACAACATCTAATGAAACAGATTTTAATATATTTAACTAAATATAAGTCCTTTTTGCGACAGTAGACAATTGCTGATATGACAAATAGTATGGCAAACAATGTACCCCATATCGACAGTTGCTCTTTGCTGTATGTTTTCAATTACATTAATAATTATAAAAACTAAATCAATTGTTAAATATAATGATCAAAACATACACTATTTGAAGGATAGGTTTACTCCGACAACACGAAGGCTTAGCAAATTCAATGCAACAATTTTCACTATCTTTGCACTGATAGATATTTCTGGGATCATTGTAACCTATTTTGACATCAATTAAACAATCAAAATCACATTTTACAAATTGTAATTTGAATAAATCAAGTACTATGAAATATAAATATTTTTTAAGCATTTTTATTTAACTATTAATTATATATTGATATATATCTAATTTTCTGTCTTTATTTTATCAAACACTATAAATTCAATGTAATAAACAAAAATAAGTGACAATTGGTATAAAAGTTTTGGCTCTTTTATGGTTATTTAGTGGAGTAGTCACGGAAACAGTTACGACTAATTGATCTCAAAAAACAACATTTTTGTAATTTCTGTAAATAGAAAATAATTATTTATTTATTGAATATATTTATGTTTTGTGCATTAGTGACCACCTTTTAATATATTATTATTTATTAATATATACAGATTATATATGTATATATAATATAATATAAAACTTACACAGAAATATATAATTGGCAAATATAGAGGCATAAATTTCTATAAATATAAATAAAATAATTAATAAGAAAAGATTTTGATATAAAATAATAAAACATTTATATAGGAGTTTACATATAAAAATTGATTCAAATATTACTTAACACAAACACACTTATAATATTTGATAAAAGCCAAGAAAATTGAATGCATTAGCGATATAATGGATTTGTTGTTGAAAATAAGCCAATTTTAAAGGTGCTATAATTGACAACAAAATAATTGATTGCTTTGTGTATTCATTCTATACTTTTACTTAAATCCAATGGTTTGTAAATTAATTTCTTTGAAAAAACTTATAAATAGAGAGACGAATGAATGGCAAACATTTGGATCAAGACTTCTTAAAATTAGTCGACTGAATCTGAATTATGTGTTTTGTACTCAACTTAGTATATAAAGTATAGATAGATATAAAGTAATATGTTTTAAAACAGTAATAACATAGAAAATATATCTATAAAAATATTCAGATATACTCATAAATTTTGAATACAAAATAACATCTCATTAATTATAAAACTCATGATCCGATTAAATGATTTATGCAAATTTAGCAATATATCAATTATATATGTTTTTATTGTATAAAAGATTACATTTATGCTATACTAATAATTATACTAAATAATAATAATAATAATAATAATAATAATAATAATAATAATAATAATAATAATAATAATAATAATAATAATAATAATAATAATAATAATAATAATAATAATAATAATAATAATAATAATAATAATAATTATAATAATAATACTATATGCTAATTTAAATGAATTTATTTCATTATTTTATCTAAATACAGATTAATCTCAATTTAATAATTCTATGTCTCCATACAATTAGTACAGTATTATCAAATAAGTTTCAACAAATACCTAATATTAAATTATATAAATTATAAAATAACTTATTTAATATATTTGTAATAATATGTCTTACCATATATATAAAAAAATAATTAGAAATTTTATTTCAACAAATATAAAAATTTTAATAAATTAATAAAATAATTAGTTTTATTAACATAATCATTAATCAATATAATAAATTAAATAGATACATTTTAAACTTATACATTAATAATTTTTATAAGTTAATATACAATATAAAATAACTATTTAAAAAAAATTCTGTACATATATTCAATATGATGTAAAAAATATTATTTATAACAACTTATTGGCATTTGTTTTAAACAGTGTACCAGTAATTGACGGTAAATGTAAATATCAATAAATTTACATTTTTTTGCAATCATTGTCAATACAATAATATTATTGTTATCTTTACTGTTAACTCTGTTTTTTATCACTCAAAGAGTTATTATCCGAAACCAATTCAATTTCTTCATTAGTAATCGATTTCTTTTGAATCAATTTCATTCCCGAATAACCAAGTAGTCCGCCGCCGACAGCGGAGGCAATACCAGCAAACTTAAACCCGGCCAACATTCCGATCGGTCCCATCACTGCACCGGTTATTAATCCGGTAGTTAACGGAACTATAGTCGCCTTCAAAACTGATGCCTTCATATCAATTGGTGATTAAAGTAAATGTTATAAATATTTTATGAATATAAGTGATACCTTTTGGAGATGTTGTGCACCACTTAAAGTGTTTTCATGGGCCACATCTATATTGGATTCAATTGAGTCCACTCTCTCTTTTTGTCCCTATTTTTATCAATTGTTAACAATAAATTTAAAATCATTTAAAATACATAATGACATCACGACATGCCTTAATTGTGGTCACAATAGAGTTGAACATCTCATTCAAATCAACTAATTCTTTACTAAGTGTTTGCCATGATTTCAGAAACAGATTTCTATCGGCGATCTCTTCTCTTAACTGCAAATTTGCATTCAATTCGTTGTTTTGGTTATCTTGTGGTTGATCTTCATTGTCAACAAACAAACCACTCAATGGTTCATTAAAATCTTCGTTTGTTTCAATAAACTCTTTAATGACTGAAAACACATTTGTCTTAATATTGATAACCTGTTGGTAAATAAGCGGTTCTTGCGATGGATTTATTTGTTTCATCAATTCTTCCAATTGTCTGATATCGGCCTCAAGTCTGTGAACACTCTGTGATCCACTAATCTGTTCCTTCAATAGTAGATGTGTTTCTTTGGTTTGTCGATACTATCATATAAATGGTGAGCAAATAAAGTACTAATCAGATCATCAAATCAGACCAAATGTATGCAAACCTTATCAATCAATTGTTTATGTCTTCGGATGTCATTTAGATGATAGGGAATCGATAGCTCTATCAGTTGGTTGACTGCAATCTTGAGACGACCTATTGATAGGCCATCACTGGCTGTAGACTCGTGTCTATCCATTCAATACATGTCTTAACGTATAATTCAAACAATGACTTCAATTATTTAATATATAAACAAAACGCACAAAACATTCAATTATTAAGTCATCAAAAATCATATGATTTGTGTTTTAGTGTTGTATTTGTTGTGTAATCATAGGTGTCGTCACTTGACTTACACTTACATTGATATCAAACTGTATTAAAAGTGTATTATAAATGACATACACTTTACTGTAACTATACTGTACTGTACTTCTAACAGTACTATTGGATTAAATTATAATATTATAGATTATATTATATATTATTTATAATCATTATAACTTTATTAACATATTACATATATATATATATACAAAAATGATATATATTTTACTTTTTTAATAAATAAAATAATCATTTAATGTTAAATTTTATAGTAGTACTCTACATATACTAGTATATGTAATAAAATATTATATGTGATTTGAACGCATAAAAAGTATTATTATTGTTTATCATATTATATAAATTAATGCTTTATTATAATGTTATAAAATAAATATAATTTATTTAAAAATGTTTGTCTAATATTAATTTTATATAACTTTTATATAACTTTTATATAATTTTATATAATTTTATATAATTTTATATAATTTTATATAATTTTCAATATTCAGTACATTGTTTTTTAAAGATTTAAGAATTAAATTACACAATTAAAGAAATTCTGCACAATTAAAGAAAAGTGCAATTTCATTTTTCATCTAAAAATATTTTAGATAATAAACTTATATTTACAACAATAATAAAATATTAACAAAATAATATAATATATATTTTTAATGTCTAATTATTATATACAGTATATAACTGTATAATATTTTTAAATAATCAATTAATTAATATATAGATTAATGTATAATTATATATATATAATTAGAGTTATAAGTGCTTTATTATACTTTATTTATAGCATTAATAATATATTTTATTTTGTAATAACAAAAAGAAATGTAAATAAAATATATAAAATGCAAGTTATAACAAATAATATGATTATATTTTAGGGTTTATATAACTTAAAAATAAAATACAAGCAAAATTTTACAATAGAATAATATATAGATTAACATAATATATATTTAATAATTGAATACTTAAGCAAATGATTTATATAAAAAGTTGGCAAATATTGAATTAAACGACAAAATAAGTGTATTATAAGTGTATTTGCAATTTATTGACAAGAGTTTTGTTTTGGCAAACATTTGTTTTAACATAAACAGGGATTTCATATATTTCAGTGAATATACTGTTGAACTGTCATTTGATTGTAATTCTGTATAAAACACTACAAGTATTGGTTAACACAATGATTGACGTCATAAACGGCAAGAATTTGGTTGATTTGGTGACGCAAGTGATCGACAAGAATCTCAGTTTCTATGGATATATTCATTTGAGATGACGTTAGTTATCTGGCATTAGTTTCTGGGTTTTGTTAAACATATATTATGTAAAAATAAAGGCTATTATTATTGGCTTATGTATGGGATATGTTTGGCACAAAAATTAAGCTAAAGTTCATATGAAAGTCAGTGATGACTATAAAAGAGAGAAGAAAACAGTTATTGCTTTCTTACTGTTATTTTACTTGTGATGACAACACATATCTACTTATATTAAACACAATGTGTCCGATGTGTCCACCATTTTATTTATATAATACCGGTTTAATTAAGTTGTTATAAAAAATAAATACAGTATATTTTTATTTTAATTTAATTAATTATAGTATATAATAAGTTTTGCTTTTATTATGTTTTCAAAAATTATTTTATATTTTTTCAAATATTAATTAAAATTAATTTTTTATAATTTGGTATTTTTATAACTTTGTTAAATAATTTTCTATGAAATATCCAATAAAAGACATTAAAGTATTATACAAGAAATATAAGAAATTTTTAAATAAGATCACATAAATAGATTTAATATAATTAGTTTTGTGTTAATTTTGTGAATATGTATTAGTTTGGTTTAAGTTATTAATATTGTATAATCAATTTATTTGATAGAAAATTGTTGAAAAATTTAGTTGTGTTTAGTTCATCAAAATTGAGGATTATATATATTTTATAAAACATATGTATTTAATTAATGTTACATAACTTTTATTTAAGTTTTGAGGTAAGAATTTGTTTGTTGTTCTTATGAATTTAATTTGTAATTTAATATTTTACTTAATCTACATTTATTTAGTTTTTTATAGATTTATTTCCTATTTACATTTATATCATTAATATAAATTGTGATTTACATATAATAATTGTAAAATATATTTATAAGAATTTAATAAATAAAATATAAACAATTTGTGAATTAAAAAAATGTCTCATTTAAATTATTTATAAATTATTTTATACTGTATTAATATTATACTTTTTAGCAATTATAGAGTATATACAGGAAAGATTTCTTTAAGGCTAACAATATTAGATTAATAAATTATAATAAAATAATAATAATAATTATTATTATTATTATGCTATTATAAATAATATGTAAATTTTTATTATTTATGTAATAGTAAAATTCATAGTAAATAAATTTAAAATCGATATAAATTTTACTAAGTTAATAATTACTTTCTACTTAATATTTACATTATAATAATTTTACGTCACAACACTATTGTTATCATAATATTTATAAAATATAATTTTTTATATACAGCATATAAATACTGTAGTAGTAAATATTAGCTATTATGTAGCTGTGTTTTGCTACATAAAAACAGTTTTGTATTATAATTATACTGTATTTGTTAACGCAAGTCATGCATTCATTTGTTTGATTAAATATTTATATATTTTGATGACGAAAATTGTTATAATTACATATAAGTATACATAAATATTATCTGTCACGATATTATTGACAATTCTGTACAATGTATTGATTTTTCTACGTTTTATTTCTATATTTATAAATTTGTATTTTATTTTATTACTTATATAAAATTGATTTGCCATAAAAATCAATTAATTATATTTTTAAAAGTAAATACTATATAAATATCACTAAATTGTATACCATATACAGTATGTTATAATATGTAAGAATATTCTGTGAATACTATAGCGTTTACTACAACTTTCATCACATAATGCAATGTCTATTCATATGATGAGTCGTTACGTCAGTTCCTTACTTCTCGTGCTTTCATAACGTCATTCAATATATTGTATAATATAATACACAATAATATAGATTTATAATGTTATTGAATGCACATTAAAAACTATAAATAATTTTTATAATAAAGCGCTAATCGTTGTTTAAATTTTCTATTTATTAACTATCAATATATTTGTAATTAAATATAATATTTAATAATAAATGTTATCACTATCACTAATAACCATGTTAACAATATTAAAATAATTTAAAAATATTAATTGTATATAATATTACTTTTTAGTTTTTAAAAATTGCCTATTTAAATTTTAAATAAAATTATTAATTGAATCCAATAATTAGTTTTTGTTTTCAAGAAAAAATTAATACAAAATTATTTATTTGTATTATTTTTTTAATAAAATATTAACTGAATTTTAGTGAAAAGTTCAAAATTAAATCAAGTAAATTCTAGCAATTTGAAAATTAAAAAAATAAACCCCATTTTTAATTTTAAAAAATATGTTGATATGCATAAACTGTGGTATATTTTGAGTAAATATTCTATGTAAGCTATTTATTAGATGTTTTTATTTATAATAGATTTATATAAATAATCCTACACTCATTTATTTTAGACCTATTTTTGTTATTTAATAAAAAAATAATATATTTAATAACAACTTAATATTAATATTATAATTACGATTAAAAATATTTATTGTAAATTAAATCATAAACATATTAAACATTAAAAAATATATAAACAAAATAATATTTGCTATTTTTAAAAAAACCTGTAAATAATATACAGTATTATGCAAATAATGTAAAATATAATTAGTATATATTATAGTAAAGTGTCGATAACAATACACAGTACAAATAAATTATGTTACTATATTTATATTAAATTATTTTATATAAAAATGAAAAATGTTAAGAGATCATTTTTTAATTAGTAATATTTATTGTGAGATATTGATATAATTTGATATTAATTTTTACAAATATTTAATATAAAACACTTACAAATTAGTATAAATATATTTTCAAATAAAGATAATATAAAATTAAAATAAAAAAAATCTAAATCATAAATTATAAAAATTATTTTTTGATTATTTTGTAATTCATACAATAAATAATAATTATTTATTTTTAATATAATTTTGTAATTAAGAATTTATAGATGTATATATAAATTATGTATTTAAATAAAATTTAAATAAATTTGAAATCTATTAATTTAAAATTTTAAGATTATTTTTAATTAGTAGTTGTTGCCTCAAATTATATTGAAATTTTACATTATAAATATAATTAAATTTATATTACTATATTTGTAATTTAATAATTTTATGGCAATTATTGGTAATCACAAATTATATTACCCAATAATATTAAATGTGTTGTGAGAAAGTAATTATAAATCATAATTATAAGCATTGAATTGTCAATTCAACAATTTATTGAATGACTTGTATTTTATTAATTTAATTAGAATTTGTGTTGAAATCCTATTTTATGATAAAATTATTATTTATTCAAATTTTCATTACAACTAACAAGTATATGGAAATCCTTGTATTTGAGGATTTATTTAGTTTTGATTTTAATTATTTATTACAAATAATCTTAGAATTATTTAATATCTATTAACACGAATTGCTTTTATGTAAAAAATATTTTTTTCTAATGAAAAAATAAATAAATTTTCATTTGAAAGTATGGATAATAACAAAACAAAAATGTCTGTATTTTGAAAGTACTTTCTATACTATATTATACGTATATTTCTATATAATATAAGTTATAATAGACTCTATTGAGTAGATCTGCTATTGAATACGCGATAAAGTGATGTAAAATCGATAAAATGAATTGAAATAGATTTTTGGACTAATATTTCTGGTTTGCCATCAAATGACGTAATTTTGACGTAATTTTGACGTTTCAAAGATCTGCTGTACCGTACAGTCAGATACTACGAGTGCATGTCGTGGATGAGCCTATGATAAGCCTGGAGTGTAGCCATCGATTGCCTCTTGACGTCAGACAGACGGCATTGACGTCCGAAAGACGTATCGTTGTCTGAGAGACGGATCCACTGGAGAACGTAAGCCAACAAATATATACTAAACTCGTGGTGAAGACTGTCTCATATCTGAAGCTAACACACAACTAGTCATTTCATTGCAAACAACTCTTCAAATTTTTATTATATCAGTGGTCACTATAATTGTGATCTGCAATCTTGAAATCTGGCACAACATCACAATCAGTCACAACAAGTTCATCAACGCATCGCTTGTCGATATCCATCACATCCATTGAATAACTCTTTCTCGACCACAGACTTTGAGCCAAAAAATACCTACCATTGGCTCAATTCATCGCATCATAACTGGACTCATCATAAGTGTTCACAAAAAGGTATTGTGAATCAACTTTTCAATTATACTAATTGTTTGACTTTAAGTTATTACTAAAACAAACTATTGAATGCAAACTATTTGGATATTTCCACCAAATTAAGTGTTTTGAACTAATCCTAGTGTTTTGATTTTGGATAATATCATAATTTTACACTAATTGTTGGAAATTTTATTAAATAAACCAAATTTTATTTTTAAAACTGAATGCTTATTAAACAAATAATTAGTGGAATATGCATCTAATATAACCTACTATTATAGTAAGTTTATGTTTTTCAAAATTATGTTTAAATATTTACTTATTTGCTTTGCGTTACTATTTTTAGCGTATTATTTTTTCTCTCAATTTTAACAATTAATAATAATAATAATAGTAATAATAATAATAATAGTAAAATATTTTTAGTGAACGAAAAATATAAGTTTCTAAATAGTAAATGCATTTAGAAATAAAATATCTATCAATGAAAAGCTTTGTATTGATGTTTCTATATTTAGTAAGTGTGTCCTTATTATTATTGAGTCGGTCTCTACAATACAATTGTATTGCAAAACAAACTTATAGTAAAGCATTACTACTATTATAATATGTGATCCTTTTTATCGATTACATTACATAACATAATTCAATTGCTTTGCACTGAAATCACGTAAATAAACAATCGATTGGTTGAATAGCACTCCGGAATCTCTCTCCCAGTGTTTGACAATAGACTCTCGGATTACTCTCTGGTATGACCTGAGCTCTGACGCAAACATATCATAGTAACGGAAAAAGTGAAGCCTAGTTACCGATGCGGTAAAGACATGCCTCTCATTGCGTCAGTTGTTGTAATGATTTTCTGTGCCATTATTTTCTCACGTCATTATAGATCATAGGCTTTAATCCAATACAATACAACTTACTATTATAAACATTTCAATACAAGTCTATGCTATATATAAATATATATATTGTATATTTAGACACATTTGTCTACTCTGTATACACTACTTATTCTTCAATAATATATAGCATTCTTTGTATATAATATTCTGCATTTACTTGACGTCAACTAAAATATAAAAATATCTTAAATTTGGCGCATATTCTTATAATTTTTATTACTCTATTATTATTGCTAATATTGTATTAATTTATGACAATACTATAGAAAATGTTTAGTTGCCTTGCACTTGATTAAAGGCTTTTTATTAAAGTTTTATTTAAATCCAGATTTGACAATAATTTTAAATATAGACTAATAATAATAATAATTCTGAAATTTTTATGCACGTAATAAAATATTTTTTGCAAAAATAGTTTAACTTTAACTAAAAAAAGTTACACATGTTTGAAGTTTTATGTAACAAACATAGAGAATAAAGTAAATTAAATAAAATGATTTTATTGAACAGATAGCGGGACAGACCAAACAAGATTGCAAACCGAGTCTACAAATATCGCAACTCATCCCAAACTTTTGAATTATAATTGTCAACCATATTATTGTCTACAAAATAATAATAATAATAACGCGTGTAATAATAATACTGGTGACCAACTGCACGGTATCGATACCGTTGCAACAGTTCACAAGAAATTGAAATTGGATACAACCATGATATTACTTCAACAACATCAGGTTTGAATATTATATTATATATATATATACTGTACTATATTGTATGATATGTTTTTTAGTAAAAATAGTTTTCAAACTGTTTATTATTTAAAAACTATTGAAATATATATATATAGCATAGTTATACCTATTTAATAAACTAAGAACTATATACAGTAATATTCAACAATAATTGTTTGCATCAATTTGAACGACCATAAGCTAAAGTCTATAACAAATCAAATATTTTTATAACTAAGTTTCTAAGATAACAATATTTATTTCTTATTAAATCAAAGCATTAACTGTTTTTTATTTGATAAAGAGGTATTAAATATATCAATAATAATAGTCGAGTAAATATGTATAAAATTAAGTACTATTAAAAGGAGTTCTACCTATAACTAGTAAAAGGAGTTTTTTAAAGTAGATCAAGGGTGCCATCAAGTGTCTCATTGGCAGCCATATAAATATATTGGATATTAGTAATTGATTTGATAGCTAATCAAGTGATAATTGTGCACATTTTGTCACCTAAGCCATCACTTATTAAAACTCATCTCCATTTATATGATACGATATCTACACTTTAAGTGTTTTTGATAATATTAGCATTACTTTAGTTTAGCGCATTGTAGTGTGTATTACACTGTATATTATTCTTTATTAAAAGTTATTGAAAAAATTGATAATAAAAAAATAATTGCTGTACACATAAAGTAGCTCTCATGTGCTTTTGAATAGTTTGATAATAATAAGCATTTAATAGACAAACAACACAATTCATTATATGACTAATATTGTTAATATTCATTTCATTTGATTTGATACTTTCAATCTTAATTAAATTTATTTTCTGTATAATTATATACATAATGTAATATTTAGTGTATACTACAGGTATATTATACTATACTATACTATATATATACTGTATATTGCAATTGAACTTCGGTCTGTCTATAAGATACCTGTGCAGTGGAGTTAACGCTATGCAATGCATCACATATTATTAAATCTGAGAGAATCAGTGTCTGTATTGTGTGAAAGCTTTGGCAAATTTGCCGAAAGTGTTGTTTGTTTGACTACAACATGACTTTTATTTTACAGAGTGCTTCGTTTGGCAGTACTGGCACTTTGCTGGGCACCGACCTTACAGTCAATCCCTATAATATAATTGACGACACTTTTGAAGACTTCAAACTTTTTGACTTTCCTATAGAGGACTCACTTGACGACGAGTCGGACTTTGCTGACTTGACCGATATGTACAGTCAACCAACAGAGCAGTCATTGTCACCCACCTGTCAAAGTACTGCTCCGTCAACTACTTGTTCATTGGAATCAGTTTCGGTCACTTCGACGCCATCGACTCCCAACGCAGCCATTCTTCCCAGTTTTCTCGAAACATACTCTCCTCGTTACAGACAACAGGTATCAGCTTCAGGAGGAATGTATTTCAAATTTGAAGACATTGGATCTGAAGACGATTCACTCGAGAGCGACAACTTTTCTTTGAATCCGCGCTCCAATATTTCAGTTGCTTCAGTTGGCTCTCCATCTCTATCTCCCGCTTCTTATTGCGGACAACTTCTTCCTAATACAAATGTGACGCCATTAGTGTTAAAACAAGAAGCACCCGACACTTATATTCCATCAACCAGTGGACCGACACCAATGGATATCAGTTACGGAGCTTCGGTACCGATGACAACACGCAACACATACCAAAGCGGTGCAACATATCCTCTAACCAGTGATAAACCTGTTGTCGCCAACAAAGTAACGCAACAACACTATCAGTTCAATACTTTCACGCCTTCAACCATTCAATCTCAAACCATTGCACCGCAGGAGAGCATATCATATCAGTGCTCATCAATTGAAACAAAAACTAATTACTGTCCCTCACTTCACAACATATCTTCATATCAAAGCGATTCCTCTCCTCAACTTAACAACACTAAAGTTCAGCGCAAAGCACCGTTGACTCTGGCGAGTCCCACGTCCTCCGAGTCAAGTGTTTGCATGCAAACACCCGCCACTCCGACCACCACTAACTCAAACAGATCGTCACCAAATGATTCCCCCTCTCCAAGTCAATTGTGCGCTGTTTGTGGTGATAACGCCGCCTGTCAGCACTATGGTGTCCGCACCTGTGAAGGTATGCTTCATTGCTATCATTTTTGTTATCACTACAGAAGCTCTAAACATAGTATTTACTGAATAAACAGTTGATTATAAGTGCTATACTCTAAATAAATACTTGAAACACATCCGTAATTTAAAATAATCTAATGATCTGATTATCACTAAATAGGATGCAAAGGCTTTTTTAAAAGAACTGTTCAAAAAGGAGCCAAATATGTCTGTCTCGGCAATAAGGACTGTCCCGTTGATAAACGACGGCGTAATAGATGCCAGTTCTGCCGATTCCAGAAATGTCTGGCCGTCGGAATGGTTAAAGAAGGTGTGTTTACAAGACTTGTGTTTAAAAATTAAATGAATACTTATTAAAGTGTCTTTCGTTGACTACATATAGTTGTCAGAACTGATAGTCTTAAAGGACGAAGAGGTCGATTGCCGTCAAAGCCAAAGTCACCACAAGAGTCTCCGCCTTCGCCACCAATTAGCACAATCACAGCACTTGTGAGGGCACACGTGGACACAACACCAGATTTAGCTAATCTTGACTATAGTCTCGTAAGTTTTACTTTTTGATATAAATTTATATAATTTTGATATTAATATTGCAAATCATTGAATATTGCAGTTTAAAAAGTCAAGTGATCCCAATAGTGATAATGGATCCGAAGCTGAATATATTACACAATTTTATAACATCTTAATGTCATCTCTTGAAGTTATCCATAATTTTGCTGAAAAAGTCCCGGGTTTTACAGATCTCGACAAATCCGATCAAACTTTATTGTTTCAGTCGGCATGTCTTGAGTTGTTTGTCTTGAGAATGGCCTACAGGTGTGAACAATATATTTATCTGAATATACTTTTAGGAAATGTACTAAAAAATGTCATTTAACAGAATGCAGTCAAACTCGGATAGGTTTACATTTTGTAATGGATTTATATTAAGTAAATATCAGTGCGAACGGAGTTTTGGTGAGTGGTTGACATCAATTATAGACTTTTCACAACACATCCGTCTAATGGATTTAGACATCTCTGCATTTGCCTGTTTATGCGCTCTCACTCTTGTCACAGGTATTTGCTATTAAAATATATGTCTGTATTTGTTATTTGTTATAATTGTTTATTATAATTATCATATAATAGATCGACACGGTTTGAAAGATGCCTATAAAGTGGAACAGTTGCAGATGAAGATCATAAACAGTCTTAAAGATCACGTCACATACAATAGTGAAGCACAGAAAAAGCCTCACTATTTCTCCAGAATTTTGGCAAAACTGCCGGATTTGCGCACACTTTCTGTCAATGGTTTGCAAAGGATTTTCTGTCTGAAACTCGAAGACGTTGTCTCAACACCGGCTGCTATCGAAAGTATGTTTTCGCCGACTCTACCCTATTGAACATTACTGACCACCACTTACTTTAATGACCACAACAATCACTATAACACATACACACAAACAAAACGATTGAAACAATTTCACGGACCCATTCATTCAAACTTTTAGCACCATTTTTCAGTATTAATTGATTAAATACTCCCAAGGATTACATAATATTGACTTTAAAACTTAATTTATAGAATTTATTAGTTATTATTAAACATTATATGATTGATAATATAAATGTTTATCTTCTAATATAAATCTATTATTAGCTATAATGAGAGCATTTATTTCATTTGTTAGCACCAATACCACTGCCGTTACATGTAGTGAATAATCGCTACTTAATTATAATTAAATTATTATTATTATTACATATTAAATATAAGGAGAATAACTAATAATGTGAAACTCCTTAAGCCTTAGACACGATTTTTTGTTTATTAATTAATATTTACAATTAATTTTTCTTATAGTTTATAAGATTTTGTCCCTAAAACTAGTCAATAATAAGTCAAAACAAACTGTCATTTTTAGTCAATAATAGATATAAATCCCACTTTTAAAATGTTATTAAATTTATATCTCAAAAATATTAATAATTACGATTTTGTGCCATTTATAGTGCAGTTTTAATGCACTTTTTAGACTATATAAAAGAGTTTATATATAATAATTTTGTCTTTATTTAGCATTTTATCACTTAGTTGTATATAATGTATATTATATATTTATAAATTAGTTTTAATAATTAACTGTTAAGAGCTTTTTAAGATTTTATTTATTATTAATTTTAAAAGTTTATTTATTTATGAAATTTTTAAGTATTATTTTATAGTTGTTTTGCATATAAATATATATAAATATAAATAATAATAATTTATTTTATCATAAAAATTGTTAATTAGAATCTTATTATTAATTATTACATAAACTTAATAATTAAAATAAGGTTAATAATGTAAAAGCTATTTGGCATAAAAATATGTTTTAAATAGAAAAGAAATAAATTTTAATATAAATTATATTTTATTCATAAATACATTATATTCTCATTTCTTTCAAAGAAAGAGAAATTGTTTGTCAATAAAAATCATAAAATAAAAATTTTACAATAATTATAAACTATTGATAATTACATATAATATAAAAAATATTAGTTAATGTTGACTACTGTTATTACTGTTGTTTATGTAAAATACAATTTTAAAATATTTTCAAAAAAAAAAATAAAAAACTAATTTATTAAATAATTTACTTTTGTTTATATAATAATAATTTATAAAATAAATAACAATTAATTATGAATTAACTGAAATCAAAGCATATCTTAAATTGAGATAAAGGTAAGTATGTTGTAGTAAACAGAGATTACTGTTGTCTTCAATAGTTTTGATTAATAATTGTCACAATTGTCACACCTGTGCAGCAATTGTTTAGTTTTATTAATCGGAAAACTTTTACTTAATTTGTTTTCTCTTATGATAAGTGAAGACATTTCATAATCAAAGGAGAGATAATTTACAATATTTATGGCTTAAAGATTGAAAGTATACGTAAATAAATGATAAGTTGTAAAATTGTCAACACTTTTAAAAACATTTTAATATTTCATTTTTAATGATTTTACACAATAAGTGTATAAATTATAAACTCATTAAATCGATAAAATTGCAAATAAATTGATAATTAATTTATAAATATTTTTTATTATTTTCAATATTTTCTATTGAAATTTAAGACTTAATGTATTAAAATTGATAATTATTGCAAATTATTATAATTTGTAAAAATCTATCATTATATTAAAATATTGAAATAAATGAATAAATTTTATAATTTATATTATATTTCAATAAATTAAATTTTTTAAAAATTACAGTAAATTACTATTAATAAATATTTTTAATCATAAAATAGTGACAATGAATATTATGATTTTTAAATTATTTTAATTTAAATATTATTAAATGGTTACTATACTATAATAATTAAGCAAACAACGATAATAAAATACTTGAAATTATTCAATATATACAATATACTGTATATATAAATATACTGTATATATAATTACATAATTTAATCAACAGTTTAATGTTTTGCTTTATTGAAAATGTCATTTTAAGCATATCAAACCATTATATACTTTTAATATATTTATTTAGTATTTAAATTATACTTATGATTATTATTCGTGTTTTTTAATTAAGTATCACTCATTATCTAATATCAATTATTCAGTATTTATATTCATTTATGTATTTATATAAAAATCTTTTATAATTTATTTTTCTATAAATTACAATAAATTTACACAATTGACACACACTTAAAATTATCGATTATGTTTCAAATTAACTGTAATAACAGTACAGTAAATAAATTATTACAAGAAATCAAATATAAATTAAACTCAATTGAAAATAACAGTTCGTATATTAAATTATATACACTTTGAAACTAACTATGCATTAACAGTAAAAACAACTTCAAATACTATATTTTATTTAATAATTTAAAAGAAAAAATTTAGATAATTAAAAAATAGCTAAATTTAAAGTTATTGAAGTTATTTTTAAAATATAATTTAACTATACTTTACACACACAATTTTGTTTTGTTTAACAAATTAATTTTGTTTATTTATAAAATTTTTTTAATTAAAAGAATTAAAATTATATAAACGAATATTTTTAATTGCTTTTAATAAGTTTTTTTAACATAAATTATTAATTATTTATTGAATTGATTTCAGAGTCCTAAACAGCTATTAATTTCAATTATCTGGTCAACTTTACGTTTGATTTAAAAGTGACCATGGTCAATGTTGTAGATAATTTTAAACTAAATGAGATTGTAATTGGTCATTTTTAAATTAATTGTATGATTTGCCAAATAATTGCAGTCGATATATATATATATATATATTATCTAAACATACGATAAATTAAAAAATGACCAATTACAATCTTATTTAGTTAAAAATGATCCACAACATTGACCATGGTCACCAACATTGCCCTTGGTCACTTTTAAATCCAACGTATTGTTGATCAGATAATTGAAATTAATAGCATCGCCGCTATTTAAGACTCTCTCAAAATCTTCAAATACTATATTATATTATATTTTATTTTTATTTTTATTTTTATTTTTATTTTTATTTTTATTTTTATTTCTATTTCTATTAAATTAATATTATATTCAAATCCTATGTCTTATACTGTATTAATCGGCTCTATCTTAAAATCAGACCTCTTTTAACAGGTCTGATGCAATAATCTGGTCAATCATAAGAGTAAATAAAAAATAATTAATTATAAATATATTAAATCTAAAATTATCTATAACTTTGCCATTTGTGGTCATTTTTATATTAAAAATATAGTTTAATAGATATTCAGAAAACATTATGAGTCGTGAGTCCAATGCGTTTTCATAGTAAGATAGAGCCTATTAATACATTAGTGAACACCTCTATCGCCAAACATTAACCCTATTATGTAATGTTAATAAACATGTGTTTCAAGTGATGTGATATCGACCGCAACGGTGACCACAATATCATTAACCGCAATATGACTTACAATCAATGGCTCACTTCAATTCAGTTAATCCCGTTGTCCATTGGATTGTTGGTCACAATTATAACATTTCTAACCATTAAATGGTTAAACAAGAGACACAATAAGACATGTAATGACCGCATCATAAGTGCCACCGATTGCCAAACAAAGACGTGTCGTATATTATATGCCACACAATCGGGAACTTCAAAGCGATTATCACATGAATTAAAGACATTTTTGACAAATCAATTGCAAGAAGACATACTCGACAATAATATTCAAATAAATTTGAAACGTATTGATGACTACGAACCTGAAGACAATCTGCTATTAGATGCGAAAAACAAAAATGTCTTAATCTTAATCATATCGACCTATTCTGGTGGCACTTCAACATCTGATGGCCATTGGTTTTGTCAATGGCTTCAGGACTTTGCTAATGATTTTAGAGTTGATAAGTCATCGCTTAAAGGTTTTAATTATGCCATCTTTGGTATCGGAGATAAAGCTTATGGACAAGACTTTTGTCTTATTTCCAAAAATATTGATCAATGGTTCAGACAATTAGAGGCCATACCTATTGTTCCCATACAGTTGTCGGATGTTAGCGATTCAGATGCTTTTAATAGTCAGTATACGCAATGGATGAGTAGATTATCAACAAAATTGGCCACAAAATCATTTATGTTTGATGAATACGATTTAGAAGATAATAAAGTAGAGGATTCAAGTGATACAAAATTGCTAGATATTGAAGACATTATGACTAAAAAATCAAATGATAATTCTGTACAAAATGGTGTCAAAAAAGATATGATAACAACTGAGTTAAGAAAAGAGTTGACAAAACAAGGATATCGTCTCATTGGAACTCATTCTGGTGTCAAACTTTGCCGATGGACTAAAGCTATGCTAAGAGGAAGAGGTATTTATTAGAAAACATTTGTTAATTCATTAAATTAATCGATTTGTCTATTATTTAGGTGGTTGTTATAAACACAGCTTTTACGGCATTGAATCGCATCGTTGTATGGAAACGACTCCAAGTCTTGCCTGTGCTAACAAATGTGTCTTTTGTTGGCGACATCACACCAATCCTGTGGGAACCGAATGGAAATGGAGTTTAGATGATCCGAAAATCATCTTTGAAGGAGCCCTTTCAAATCACTACCAAATGATCAATGAATTTAAAGGCGTTCCCGGAGTTCTTGATCATCGCTTGAATGTAAGATTGTGTTGAAATTGAAATATCTTGAAATTGATTATATATTCATCTAATAGGAAGCAATGCAAGTGAGACACTGTGCCCTATCACTAGTTGGTGAACCCATTATGTATCCGCATATCAATAGTTTCGTTGGTATGCTTCATAACAAACATATTTCAACATTTCTTGTAACAAACGCTCAGTTTCCCGATGCCATCAAAAAGTATTTTTTTTTATTATAAATGGTTTCAATTATATTATTATTAAAAATATTATTTTAATTATAGTTTAGATCCCGTGACACAACTTTATGTGTCAGTTGACGCCAGTTCTAAGCAAAGTCTTAAGAGTATCGATCGGCCATTATTTAGGGACTTTTGGGAACGTTTTAAAGATTGTTTGACTGCTCTTTCACTTAAAGGTCAGCGAACTGTTTATCGGCTAACTCTTGTCAAGTCTTGGAATGTCGACGAACTGGAAGGTTATGCTTATCTGATTGGTCTCGGAAATCCAGATTTTATTGAGATTAAAGGCGTTACTTACTGTGGAACCGGTAAAGATAATCAACTAACGATGGCTAACGTTCCCTTTCATGAAGAAGTGCTTAACTTTTCATATGACTTATTGAAACATTTGAATGATAAAAGCGATTTAAAGGTGAAATACGGTATGGCCTGTGAGCACAACCACTCCAACTGTGTCCTCATCGCTAATACTAAGTTCTTGATAAACAATCGATGGCACACTTGGATTGATTACAACGCTTTCGATCGTCTTATACAAGAGTATTATGAAAGTAATGGCACAAAAACTTTTTCATCACTTGATTACATTGAGATGACACCCGATTGGGCTGTTATCGGATCTCAGGAAAGGGGTTTCGATCCAAATGACACCCGATTTTATAGGAATCGAAAGAATAAATTATAAATTGAAATCAATGTCATTATAGAAACTTTAATTATTTGATTTTTAATAAAATATTTTATAAATCGATATAAATAATTGAAATAATTAGCGGTTAATAAACTGTCGACCAGATGTCGACTGTATCACTCACATACAGACAGTCACACCGAATATAGAGACATCACATCCCTTTCCACCCTTTAGTAACGTTTTGTCTCCTCAACCCAATCACTACATGTAATCGTTATATTTAATAATCAATAAAACCATCTTTTCATCTAATTGTCGGCCTCTTGGCTGACATTATTGGCGCAGTCGGTAGGATAACGCATTACTGTAGTTGATTTCATCGACAAAAACCGTGAATCATCGAAAATGCCGTACAGATACAGTACGAGGTGCCCAACACGTGCTGAGCGCATACGGGCCTCACTTCGTAGCAAACGTGTCAACCGCAACGTTATCAATACGACAAACACCGAAGACAGCGCGGATGAAGACGTAAGCGGCCACCACAATGAGACCGTCGCCGCACGGGTCTCACGGTTTCGCACAACCGACGGTCCAGTTTTACCGCACATATCGGTAGCTCGTAATAACAATATGACACTCAACAGCTTACCACCCACGGCATCGATTCCTTATGCGACCAAAGACTCAATAAAGGAGTGGCACCGCATATACACGTTACTCACCACCGAAGACATCGAAAAGGAGCGTCTCATCGCTTCGGCTCTTCGCTACCACACTGACGGCGATGCCGGTCAACCAACGGACACTATCACCGAAAGCTCGTCAACGGACAGCTCTAAGAACAACGACATCACGATTTGCGTTCAAATCGTAGCACCAACCGAAACATGTCGTCCTATTGTGACACCGATTGTCCTCGACATCCTTCGGGCGACAGACACTATCACTATTGGACGAAAAATCGCCGACACCACCTCACCAGACGTAGACAAAGATGTAAACGTCGTAACAAATCACGATTTGCTCTCACCATCGCTATATAAGACAAGAAATCGTTCAAAACAGACGACGCATCTGAAAGCGTCACACCATTCAAGTGTGACTCCCGATAGTAGACGTAACGACATGTCGTTCACGTCATCATATCGTGTCACATATCGCCATCAATCACGACAACACCGAAGCCATCGTATTATGAACCGATTCTCAACGCCGCCCATCAATCCATTAGCGGATGGATTCGTTTCACGCGTTCATAGACTGTCCATTTGGCCGTACAAGTTGTCAAACGTTCACCCGATTCGTCCGCGCCGTATAGACGCTGGTCTTCGCGGTCGGGGAATTGTCGACCAGATGTCGACTGTATCACTCACATACAGACAGTCACACCGAATATAGAGACATCACATCCCTTTCCACCCTTTAGTAACGTTTTGTCTCCTCAACCCAATCACTACATGTAATCGTTATATTTAATAATCAATAAAACCATCTTTTCATCTAATTGTCGGCCTCTTGGCTGACAAAACTATTAAAACATTTACGTATTGTTTAATTTATATTTAAATTATAAAGATATGGTAAACACCTCTACATTGATCTCAATGTTTACGAATGTATTGTTAAATAAAAAAAGTAAACAATAATTGAAAATATATTGCGATATAAATAAATAGGACTTGAATTGAATGACTCGTATTTAGTGACCACATGTCGAGCCGTCGGTAATGAGTGAGTCGAGTGTCGCACCAGTGATGGTATCGTTTTGTTGTCAACGATGTTGTCAACCATTACGAACTCATTCGTCATTGAATACCATCGATGAACAGTTGATCAATGAGTTGAACGGAGACATCAACTCAAACGCCAACCGAAATGTCGACCCGAAAGTGTTGACCACAAAAGACAAACAACCGAATGTGATGTACAAAGTGGTCACTTCGACCGTTTCAACTGACCAATCGGGCAATGGTTTCATTGTAATCGGCGACTCAAACAATGGCTCACAATCGACAGCAAATGTCATCCGAAGTGATGGCAAACATTATCCGTCAAACTCTGGAAGCGTTGATCGCATGAAATATGAGCGACAATTGTTTGATATCTTATCGGATCAGTCAGACATTGATCATCCGCTTTGTGAAGAATGTGCTGACTTTGTTATCGACCAAATGGATCAACAGTTGAGACAACTGGAAGACGAGTGTAAGGATTATAACGATTACTTAAATAAAATGGAAGCGAATGATGGCATCGACTATAAGGTCAGTGAAGACGATATCAATGAAATGACACAAAAGTTGGCAAATTTGGAGACCATTGAGAAGCAGTTGTTACAAGAGTTGGATGAAGTGAATGACCAACAAAAACAAGTCGACGAAGAACTTGAAAAACAGACGCATGAATTGCAAAGACTTTACGCCGAAGAAGATAAGTATTGGCACGAATACAATAATATTAGAAACAATATCTTCATTTGTGAAGATGAACAACAAAGTGCTGACAATCAGCTTCGTTACGCACAGAATCTGTTGGACAAACTTAAGAGAACTAATGTCTTTAACGCAACTTTTCATATTTGGTAAGTATTTATAATATTTTTTTAATGACCGATTCATATGATGTTATTTCCCAACTGATCCATAGGCACAGCGGATGCTTTGGTACAATCAATGGTTTTCGATTGGGCCGAATGCCTAGTGTTCCGGTCGAATGGGGAGAGATCAATGCCGCGTGGGGTCAGTCGGCACTTTTGTTGCACTCTTTGGCCAACAAAATGAATTTCACTTTCAAACGATACAAAATAGTTCCGTATGGCAACCATTCCTTCTTAGAGTCACTGGAAGATAGATCCCGTGAATTACCGCTGTAATCATTAATAGAATGTTATTTAAGTCACAGATTAAGTTATAAACTAATTTCAATGTCATTAGATATGCTTCGGGAGGTATTCGTTACTTTTGGAACAACAAGTTTGACAATGCAATGGTGGCATTCCTCGACTGTCTTCAACAGTTCAAAGAACACATCCAATTAAAGGATTCTGGGTTTGTATTACCTTATAAGTGAGTCTCAAGTCATATACAATTTTGACTAATTTTTTATTTACTTCTAAACAAATATTTTATTTTAAAAAAAGGATGGAAAAGGATACCATTGAAGACACAAATCTTAATGTTAAATATTCAATAAAGTATTATATAATATAATTATATATTGTTATGTTTAGTGTTTAATATATTTGATTACTAAAGGATTCAACTGAACTCAGAGGAACAATGGACTAAAGCACTGAAATTTATGTTAACAAACCTCAAGTGGGCGCTCGCATGGGTTTCCTCACAATCCACTTAAGTCATGATATAGTCGTAATCAATGTTTAAATTAATTAATTTGATGTAAATATTAATTGTTTATATATGTCATTAATTTGTCATATTTAAGACAAAATGTTTAGTTTTGTAAATTTTATTATAAATTGATTTATTTTTCTGATAATTAAAAATGACTAATTTAGTTTTGTGTGTTTTAAAGGATAGCACATCTCAAATATATATACAATTAGTTTAAATTGAATCAAATGCCTAATTAATGAATATTATATACATATCAATATACAAATTGATGGTCTATTTCATAGACAGGTATATATTTTGCGTTTGACTTTGCATTTATCACATGTGACAGAACAGCACCATTTGAATTTGCACCGACAGTTTATTTCCTCTTGTTTTATGGTCCTATTATAGCCGCGACCACAACATAGTAGATCACATCCATCTGTTCCATCCATTCCTTTATTACAGATACGACCTTTTGTTCCAAGAGATCCCGTTTCAGCACTCGGTTCGCAAAAATCCGGTGTTTCTTCTGAGTAAATGATGTCATCATTTTCTGGTGGCTTAATAGTCATACTTTCAGTTATGTAACCGTTGCCATCATTGCCAGCCATCACTTTGATCGCACCGTCGAATTTTTCTTTAAGTCGGTTTCCAATTTCACTAAAAGGCGGTAATTTTCGCCAACAAGTTTTAAAACTACAGGAGCCGCTCATACCATGACATTTACATTCATTTTTCATATTATTTTTAACAGCCTGTCATTGAAATAATAATAATTTCTTTAGTTATGAATGAAGTTATCCGACAATTAAATATAAATATGTTGACCAACCAGTCTTCCGGCCTCATAGTTGTGTAAAAGAATCAATTTCTTGATATCACTTCTTCTTCTAAAGCCTTCGTCCATAAATTCTTTGGTTTTTTTGTAACCAAAGTTAACATTATCGCTGCAACCCTTCCAATAAAAGTCACGCTTTGAACACACCGGCAGTATTACACCCTATCATCAAAAAAATTGGTGACATTTTTAAAAATTAAATTTAAGAAAATTACAAATAAATTGTTTTATTAGTCATACTTTGGATATCTCATAAAGAATTGCAGCCGAAGTGATGGTGTGAACGAACGCTGTTTCGCGAGAATCTGATTTGTAATTAAAATTATAAATTAATATTATTTCGTATATTAATTACAGTATAAAATTGAATTAATTTCATGTCATATAAAGGTGAACCTCTAAGTAGTATTTTTCTGATGTGGGGTCTGGTTGTGGTACAGTTCCACTTTCTGTCGATGAATTGATTTTGACACTCATTAATGCCTAACTTAGCGCCTGATATAATCTTTTTGATGATTTCGGGCTCATTCTTGCAAAGGATGGGTTGTTTGCCGCGGAGTCGCTTCACTTTAATGCAGATCCGATTGGGATCTACTATAAGTTGTCTCGGCATTGCCCTATCAATTATAGTTATCAATTATTGTAATAATTAAGACATTTATATTTTATATAAATTTCACTATACTTATAATAATACGTATATTTTATTTTTATTTTCAACAAAACATAAAATAAGTCAATATATAGTTAAATATCTAACAAATTACTGATCAGAACTTGAAGTGATGTATAGATAGATGTATTTATGTCATAAAAATTTTCATTTCTTCATTTTATTACTAATTTTGTTATACAAACGGTCGTAAAATTTTCAATGCACTCAACACTCAAAAAAAAAAAATCAATTCAAACCCCTTTTTTGGCTAAAATACTGATTTTTAATTAACTTTCTTTTTTATAACTCAAGATATAAATCTCAAACCAAAAAAGTGTATTTCATTTTAAGTTAATATTAATACATTAAACACTATTCAAAGCATTTTATTTACTGTAATATTAATATTAATAGTAATATTATTGATACAATATCTTACTTTAATCTTTATTTTAAGGTTTCATTGTATTAATGTTTGTATAGTATCTACCAGGGTTGGAAAATACAAGGTTTTGAATTTTGACTTTGTATAATATAGTAAAATACAATGTACTGCATGTATTATACAAATTTTAAAACTAATATATATTATGTTAAAAAAATTACTTAAAAATATTAAGTAAAAATATAATTAATATAATAATTAATAATATAATTAATATAAAATATAATTAAAAAATAAAGAAAATGCATTATTTTTATTATAATCGTTGTTTCTAAGTTATAATAATCAAATAATTTAAAATAAAAAATGAAATTCAATAAAAAATAATATTAAATCTATATTTATTATAAAACATGATTTATTTTGCTTATATCAATGCTTTTAGCACTATGTGGCGCAAAATTTTTTTTATAAACCAAATTGGTCATGTATTTTACATTGTATTATACTGTATAATACGTTTTGTTTTATACAAACATTTTGTCTCTGCCAACACTGGTATCTACCGTATAATATAAGTTATTAATGCATTTTATTAGTATCTATTTTCTAATAGCATTATTAGTCATAAAATAATATTCATTTTAGAATATTTTTATTACAATTATGTATTTATAGATAATGCCTAAATTTAATTGTTTTAAATGATAAAAATAATTATATAGAAAAATTTAATAATCATAGTGTGTTTACAAATATTATACACATAAAAGTAAAATGCAATAAAATTATTGGAAAATAATAAAAATAATACACTGAATATGAGTCTAAAAATTGTAGAAAATGAGGGGACAATCGACAGTATAATGAATACTAAATTGCAATAAATACCGACTTATTATTATTATTATTAGCAATGCTTATCATAAAACTCGATACAAATGAAAACTATTTGTAAAGAAATATAATTATCTCTAAAAAAGATTTAATTTTTATTTAATCATTGATTTCAAGACATTTATTTAATTTAAACTTGAATAATAAAAAAATTGTTAAAAAATTATTGAATATACTATTTTTAAAGCAATTATATATTAATTACCGTATTTGTCAAATAACTAGTTTTACATTTGAGAAGTTTTTGTGGGAAACAATGATTGATTGGAAAACATGATTTGTTTTAGTGTTAAGTTTGACAAATAACTCAATTATATCTTCTAATGATTACATTGTTTATAGTTATCAAAAGTCATTTATAACAATTGTCTTTTGTTATTAAATGAGTATTTATTTAAGTATTTTTTGAGTTATGTTTGATAAAATGCATTGAATTATTTGAGTGGCTTATCATTGGAGAAAAAATCATAAAATTAAATCAATTGTCTTATTAATTGTCTAACAAATAATAATAAGTGTTTTATATTGTTATTCAATTAATCTAATACTTGATATAAAATAATGGAAAATAATGGGTGTTTTAAATAGAAATCAAGATTTGGTTAAATTAAAAGTGAAATTAAATAATACTTACCACATGTGCGATGAACTTAAGTGACAACTAATCTCAATGATTATCCAAATTATTGTTATAATTATATATTTTTCCATATTTTTTTAGTAAAACACTAAAAAATATTTGATATCAGATTTAAAAGGTTTATAAATGATGAATTTTATTTAAAATTGATGAAGTCTAATTTTAACATCATATATATTAAACGATTAATTTAAATAGATTATGTAAATAAATTATCATAAATTATTTTTCTTTACAAAATAACATTAAAATTTGAGACAATAATTGTCCTTTTATTGTGACAATCATATGGATTGTATATATTATTATAATATTAAACATCACACGAATATAGTCTTCATGAATAAAACAAATGCTTTTTTCAAAAGCAATCAAAAACTATAGGAAACATAAAATTAGTTTAATATTTAGCGCTTATGTGTGAATAGATTTAGGCGTTGACCGGTCGAGACATTACTAACTTTTTGATAAATTTGTGAAACACAGCACAGGTAGACATTAACATCACTACTGAAAAATCACATCCAATTCACATTAAATCTATACATTATTGGACCCATATATTCAACTTTATTACAACTTACTATTATTAGAAAATTTCAAATCTAAATGTCGACAACTTTTTAAATTTTTCACACTTTTAAATTAATTACTAGTTTTTAATAGTTATTGATAAATAATTACTAAATTAACAACTAATATGAATATTTTAGTGTTTATTAATTGTAAACATTTAAAAATATTAATTATACTGTATTTGTTTAATTAATACAATTAAATCATAAGTTATTACTATATATTTATAAATAAAATAATTATTAAGTTATAACAACATAATATAACTTATAAAACTCACTCAATTTTATATAAATTAATTTTTTCAAATAATTAAATTTATATATCATTTATCAATTAAAGACCCAATTGTTAGTAATCTCTTCAAAAAACCATTGAAGTTATAATAGAGATTTAAACACTTATCATATAATGTATAATATGGTAGTTATGGTATCAAACATATCAGTGCTCTCCTCCACAATATTAAATAATTTCTTTTGTTTATTATATTAATATTTAATATGAGATGAATTGAGGACTTGTCAAAGCTCTCTCTCTCTCTCACTTCATGTCAATCAATAGTTATGATATGTATGTCTCCACAAAAATATACCAATGTTTTATTGATACCATTATAAAAATATTATATCATTTTAATAGATTTCAATCAATAACTTATTAATACCCACATAAATGTTTGCGTTGACGTTAATGAACTGTTATTAATATATATTCATACGATTAATACATATAGTATTTGTTACATAAGCTGCTGTGTTGTGAATAAATAGATAGAAAATAAAATTAATGTTCAAAAACATATCCACAAAATTAAATTATCATATGTCTTATTTTATTTATTAAATCATTTACTATACATATTGTATATCAAATTTAATTATTAAATTTATTCAAAATCCTTTAACATCGAGTTTTATTGGCTCTATATATACAGTATATATATAATGATAAACATAAATAGTTTGTAAAAATATTAAATTACAAAATTGTTTTTAACACATTGAAACACAAACTTAATATAATGTATTACTTTATATATAATTTAGTACTAATGTATATATTAAGTGAAAGATATTGTGTATTGAGTCACTGTTTTATTGTTTTTCTTTATTAAAAGTATAACAAATATTAATCATCAAAAGGTAATAATATATTTAATTGTTTAATCTATGCTTATGTGTGCTGATAATGAATATATAATTAAAATAATTATTATATGACTTAAGATTAAATATTAGCTTTTAATATAAATATAATAAAGCAAATTATTTACTTTAGTAGATAAGTAACAGTCAGTATATAATACTGTATAAAGTGTGGGTTGAATATTGTCATAAAATATTATTTTTTGTTTAATGCAATTGATTAAAAGCAACTTATTATATAAAATAAATTAATATCAAACTAAATTTTAAGTCATTGTTAATCACTCATTATAACAAATGCTACTAACAGTAAAACATTTAATGTTTGCATATTTAATGCATAGAAATTGTTTTTATTAAAATGTCATATATTGTTCAGTATATACTGTATATTAATAGTGATTTTTAAAATTAAAATTGACTATAATATTCAAAAGGTTCGTAAAAAAGTTTTAAAACATTTTGTTTTAAAATTAAAATACAATTGTATCAAAGTCTGGTTGTATATATAAATTATGAAGTGTTTGATTACATGTGAAAGTTGATATTGTAATTAATTATAATTATTTTTAATTTAATTAGTTGTGAAATATAACACTTTTGTTAAAATTTTGTTGTTGTTATTCTTGAATATATGAAATGAATGAAAAATTTTAATAAATATTAATAAATATTAATAAATATTAATAAATATTAATATTCTCACATTTGATTATATAAGATATTAGAAATGTTTTGTCTGAAAATCACAAAATTTTAAAGTTTACATTTTTTAAGGAGATTACCAAATTATATTAGATTATATTTTAGTACTATAGTTTTATTATTATTATTATTATTATTATTATTATTATTATTATTATTATTATTATTATTATTATTATTATTATTATTATTATTATTATTATTATTATCATTTAAGTCTTGAGATTGAAATTAAAGATAAAATCAAAAATAAATGTTTAGTGATTTTTGTTACAATTGGAATGTAATTAATGGAATTTTATCTCAATTTTTATCAGATTTAATGATATTTTATATTATGTCAAATAAAAAATCATTTGTATAATAGCTTTGTTGTTGTATTTTTGTTGTCTATTATGGAGTCAATTATTATTTTTAAAAACGTACAAATGATGACTAATTTGATTACAATAGATTTAAACAAATTACAATTAACTAATACAGTATTAAACTTATCAAAATATAATCCTTATACAAATGTAAAACTTAAAATTGTAAAATAATTTTAATATTATCTTAACTAGGTTATTTTAGTCAAACGACTATTTTTTAAATATACACATTTTTATCACTTCACTACATTACAGTGTAGTATACAATAAACTAATACAGTACTGTACTTACTATTGTATCAGACATTGTAAACATTGGTATTTTTATTGCCTTGGTAATTTTTACACAATTTTGATTAAAAAAAATTATTCAAAACTATTATAGATTTTAGTTTTAAAATAATTTTATTTGTTTTCATTAAAATTGAAATACAATTTTAGTTTTCATCATTTTTTTGAATATCTAAGAAATGAATGAAAAGCTATATAAAAATAATCTTATATTACAATAAAAATTTTGTATATTATTATTATATATTAAATATTACATTTTTAGAGAGATTAGTACATTATTACAATTATTATTTATTATTCAAGTTTTGAGATTAAAGTGTAAGATAAAAGAAAAAATAAATTTTTAGTGATTTCTGTTATAATAGGAATGTAATTAAACGGAATTTTATCGCAAATTTTATCTGATATAACAATACATACTATTAAGTTAAATAAAATTCATTTGTGTGAATAGTTTTGTAGATTATTTTTGGAGTGATTTGAAATGATATACTAAAAAATCATATTGAAAACTGATTTATTTGATTACAATAGTTTTAAACAAATTAGATTTAAAGTAAAATATATTAAAAAGGGTAACAATACAGCAGTAAGTTATTAGTGCTTAAAAAATATGTCATCTTTTATAAAATGTAAACTTATATAAAGATAATACACATGTTTGCCTTTAAGGCATTAGACAAATATGTATAGTTAGGTGCTCTTAATGGTCATCAAAACTACCAACAAGTTTAAAACCTCTCAGTTTAGTGTTTGTCTGCAGTTTTGTTTAGATATTCCGGTTATACCACACATTGTGGAGGACAGGTGTGTGCTGTTAGTCAACAGGAGTCACATATTATTGAAAAACAAAGGAATGTCTAAAGCACTTAACTTTTGATTAAATTATCTATATTTTAGTGCTAAAAGATAGTCATATATTCCGGAAAATAGCCATAATATTATATATATTGAGGAAAATGATAATAATTATAAATAGTAGTATTATTATATACTGTACACTTGTATACAATATTTTTAAAATTATATTATTATAATCAAAACAATATTTTATTTATAACATATATGACTATAATGTTATTAGCGATTTGTTATGTATATTTATTTTATATAATAATGAATTTATACAAATCGATAATTTATATTAATTAATTAAATTAAAAACAGTATTTTTCAAATTCAATTAATGACTAAATATTTATGTATCTAAAACAAAATGTATGAATAATATATAAATGAAACTAAAATTATAACATGAAGTTACTATTAATAATTCACTGTAAATTTTTATCGATAAATAAGTTAAGCAAATATTTAAGATTAATAAATTATATAATAGATTTGTTTTAATTTGATTATACAATATGTATAATATATTTGTTTTTGTAAAATGCGTGAAATAAGTTATTTAAAAATTAAAATATAATATTTACAACAATATCTACAAAATTATATTTACAAACAGTATTGCTACTAAAAAAAATTTGCAATAAAGCATAATATTTGAATTATTAAAACAAATTGTTTAAATATTTAAACTTAATGCTCGTATAAACTTTAAATCAAATAAATGGCACATAATTTAGTTTTACATAATATGTAATTACTTTGAGGACAAACACAACATAGAGTATCACAAACACGTGTGAACTGTTTTCCTAGTCTTACATATGTTGCACTTCACCTGAATTTTTAAAACAAATATCATTTTATTAGTGATTTAGCGTTTATTTAATGCAAACAGAGGACAGACCTGACAACACCAATGGAAAGTGCAGTTACAGCGCTCCAGTTCCTCTCGGATCTCAGTTTTATATCCTCGACCACAACATAACAGATCACATCCTTATATTAAAACAAATATATTTTTACAATAATATAAACTATTTATCAAAACATTTATATATAGCTAACCTTCCACTCCAATGGAAGTGTCGTTACAAACCCTTCCTTTAGTGCCTAAAACGCCATACTTTTGATTATTAATACAAAAATCAGGCGATTCTTCAAAATATATTAAATCCTTTCGCGTCGGACTTTTATATCCTTTAAAATCATAGAAAAAATAATTAAAATGAAATTAGATTATAATATTGCAATAGTAATCAATAATACAAATCATATTTAGGTAATACCTGTTTCATATGGTTTGAGCTGAACTTTCTTATATTTCTTTCGAGTCAATCCTCTGTAATCATTACTGACCATTACTCGAGACGCGCCGTCAAACTTGTCTTTTAGATTATTGCCGATATCTTTGAATGACGGCAAACGCATCCAACAGGTCCTAACAGTGCTATTTGTATTTAAGACAAAGCATTGTAAGTCATGATATGATGTTTGTGAAGTACATCCATATAAAATAAAGGGCTTTACATACCACGACCCACTCATACCATGACATTTGCATTCCCGTCTCATTTCATTGGATACGTGCTATCAAACAAATTATATGACATTTATTTAACAATTTTTTGTCAAATTTAATTAAATATAGTTACAAAAGTGAATCTAACTTTGTCTTAACAGACAGTTGTTTAGCTAAAAAGTTTAATATGATGTTGCCTTAAGGGCCTCTAATGTCAAGAGTGTATTGAATAGTATATTGATATTTAACAATATAGGGTCACATTTACCCCAAAGTTTAGTATGCATTGTGTCGATAACGGCTAAGTGGGTCTCCGACTGGTATTTGAGTATAACTTTCATTTAGTCATAGATTTATTTATATATGAATTGACTTAAAACAAGTCAATGTTAGTGATGCTAATAGTGATGCACTAGTGATGGAGTAAGAAGTGGTAAAACTTTCAGTGAAATTGATAGCCACTTATATCGCTTTCACACAATAATGTATTTGTTTGGTTCAGAGATATAGCAATTAAGGGTGCAATTCATTGCAATGAATTGCACGGTTCGAGTCATACTAATTACACAATTGTACAGTCGATAAGCCATCGGACAGAGAGAGAGAGAGAGAGAGAGAGAGAGAGAGAGAGAGAGAGACTCATGAGCTGTAGGTATAGCCACCACCAGTAGCCCCATTGCCCACATTGACAATGGTTCCCAGTGCTCATTATGACACTTTTTAGTCTTCATAATAGTTTTAAAACACTCGTATATATATACAAACAATATTTTTAATGTTTGCATCGTTAGTCTTGCCTTTTGTGGTACTCTACAGGAAACATGTATTAATGTGTATATACTCTATGAGCTGTCTGTCCAATACATAAGTAGCTCCCATACTCTTCAACTTTAAAATGTTTGCAATCCATTAAATTGTTTGCTTAAAATATAACTGAGTTGCCTCTTATGTAGTCAATATGAGAGATATTACTTATGATAACTATTGAGTGAGCTAACAACCCCCCCCCCCCACTATACCAGGTTTCTCTGCCATTGACAATACATTACATGATATAATTTTTCATTTACTATTCACTAAACTCTGTTATATTGATAACTTTGAAGATTTTTTAAAGAGCTATAAATATATAAACACATTTATCACAAACATAACAAATACAAGTGCTTGTGATTGTCAATGATTATAGTGATAGGAAAATACATACCAGTCGTCCGGCTTCGTTGTTGTGTAGATTCATAATAAACCTAAGATCCCGTCCCCTCTCAGCTGCGTCGACAAAAGCTCGGGCAAACTTATAGCCGAACTCTATGTTATCGGAACACCCGCCCCACTCCCAGTCCAGACCATTCGGTCGACGGTTATTCCTGTAATCACAGGTACACGTCTCGATCAAACCTAATTAGATATTACAGACAAAACACAACCACTAAATAAAAGTTTAATTGCAAACATTGTTACGCTTTATTACCTTCACTGCAGGCCCTGGCGATTGCATGGGTTACGGCCGCACTGGTTATGGCATAGATGAATGCCGTCTCTCTACAACCTAATAGTTATATAACATTTGTTAAGTTATTTAATCACATTATAAATCAATACTATGTTTGATTTCCATAAAAATTCATATACAATGTATTTGTCATTTGTATATTCATAGAAACAGGTCTATATAATAATTATTTATTTATATATTTTATTTATATTAGAATAAATCAAATAAAATAAAATAATCACATTCAATTACTAAATGATTCAATAAGTGCTAATACTTTAACTACAATTTACAACTGATATCTAATTTAATATTTTATAACACACTTCATATTTACTTTTAAAATGCATTTCTATTTTTAAAAAATGTATAAACGCTAAGCAAACTTATAGTTTATTGATTATTAAGTAATAAATTTTAGAGGATATACATTAACCGTTTATTGGTTATAAAATGTGCAAATATTTCATTGAATTTGCAAACAAATGCTAATTACGTAAATATCAGTGAATATGTGACAATCATTGATTAAATTGAAATATGATTAAAATGGTTACCTTTTTGGACAATTTTACCGAAAATGCTTTTGCCTTTCATGTAATCAGTTGTCGGACAATTCCAACGCCGATCTTTGAATTGGTTTTGACACTCATTTATAGCCATTTTCTTTGCTTTGGCCAATGCTTTCAAAACTCCAGGATTTTCTCTGACAAGTCTTCGCTGTTTTTTACGTAAATTTACATTAATCTCATTATATTGTCGACCAGTTATTGAATTCTTGTGTCGCGGATCTATCACTTGGTTACTGGTCTCTTCTGAGTGTGTAATTGCCCTATAATTAAATATTATAGTTATTTACATTAACTTTATCATTGTTATATTAATAGTAAAATTAGTTAAATATAAATGAATTTTGTGATATACAAAATTTTAAGAAAGAGTGTAAAAGAATCACTAATATAGGATACATTATAAAAATCACGTTTTTATATAATATATATAATATAAACTACTTAATTTTTAATACCAATAGACTTGAATTAATATTTATTGATTAATTTTAGTGTAATATATCATCTAAAATAACTTTACATAACCTAACCTTCTTAGAGAAAATATTAAAAGAAACAATAATTTTTAAACTCTAAAACCCATTGAAGCAAAAAGTACTTCAAAAAAGGCTATTAAAGAAGTATAGGTTTTAAAGATTAAATTTTAACATTTAAATTAGATTTCCGTTCAAAAATTTAAATTACAAAACAATATTTATAATATAATTTGTTGATTTGATTATAAATTAAGTTATTTTAATAAAGTTTCTATTCTACAACTGGACCTAATGTACAAAACATTAATATTAATATAAATATTAACATATTAATGTTGACATTAATATTAATAGACTCAATATTAATGTAATGATAAAAATAGTAGTTTTGACAATCATTTATTTTAATTGCATAATATTATATACATACCATAACTGGGCTGAACATGAATTGCAGATAATCTTAAAAAGTATCCAAATTATTGAAATTATTAAATATTTATCCATAACTTTACGTTGAAACTTGTATAATAAATATATGAAATAATTGTGAAAAAATAAAATAATTGTTGAATAGCTGTTATTTTAAACACACTGTGCGATTAAATTAAGATTCTTTGGCAAACAGTATATATTGATTAAAGCAGTTTATTAATAAATATCATTTGTAGTCAATAAAAGCAAAAATAACTTTTAACATAAGTTTCAAATTTTACATCGAGTTGTTTGATTTAATAGGATTTTAGTTAATGTTTAGACGATTGTCTCCTTATTTGACAATCATATGGATTGAGAGACTCGTGAAATGGTATTAAACATCACACGAGTGTCAGTCTTCATGAATAAAACAAATGCTTTTTGAAAGCAATCAAAACAATCAAAACTATAGGAGACGTAAAATGAGTCTAATATTTAGCGCTTATGTGTGAATAGATTTAGGCGTTGACCGGTCGAGACATTACTAACTTTTAATAAATTTGTGAAACATAGCACAGGTAGACATTAACATCTCTATACCTCACATCCAGTTTCCACAATACAATTGCTTTGCATTTGCTTTACGATACACTTCAATACATAGTATAAGGTATTCATTTCAATACATCGTTTCCTATCAGTCATCGTTGTCTTCAAATTTTATTATTACTTTTTCTTAACTTTCAATATAATGTCAACAATAGGTCTCATAAACTTTTAGCACATTTTAAACATTTATTATTAACAACTAATAAGATATCTCCGAGAGATGATATTTATTAGGATTTCTTTCCCAAAACAATTCACATTGTATTTAAACAAAACAATGTTTGCTTAAAATCAAATATTTGATTCATTTTTAACTTACAGTATATTACCGTTTTATAACAGTATTGCTTTATTATTAGTAGTAATACATTACTAATAAAAATCAATATTCTTTATTATTATTACACTTATTACAAATAAATTATAGTAAATTAAATACTATTTTATATTATTTTAAATAAAATACTAAAATAAAAAAGTTTTTTTCCGAAAAAAACAATACAAATATTTAGCAATTATTTAATTGGAAGTCTTGTTGATATCGAGATTAGTGATAGTAATTCACATAATACTGTATTTATTTCAAGTTTATTATGAGATATAATAAAAATTTGTGTTAAAATAATTGTCGATTCCTTTGTGGGATGTCTTGTATGTCTTGTCGATGAGTGTTCACAGAGTAAATGATAATAGAGTTTGAGAGTCAGTCAGTGGTGGTCTCACTGGGAACCGGCATAGGCTTTGCTCATAGCTTTATTGGGTGATGTGTTGCGCATACAACACATACACACTGAGCACAGGTAGCATATCTTTAGTGTTGCCGCTGCAGCGCTCGTCCCGTAATGTATGACAAGAATATGCACTCATATTCATTGCATTACTTCAATAACCAAATGAATTACTTTAAAAGTCATATCTTTTAGTTAATATAATTCAATTAAGAATTGACTCACTGTTTATTTAAATAATATATATTAAATTAATTCAAATATTTCTATATTATCTCAGAAAACTACTCAAAATTTTATCATTTTTACTAAAGAAAATTTTATAAAGAAAATATGTGAAAATAATCTATAATTAAATTAATAGTTTTTAAAATAATACTCTAGACAGAGAGAGAGAGAGAGAGAGAGAGAGAGAGAGAGAGAGAGAGAGAGAGAGAGAGAGAGAGAGAGAGAGAGAGAGAAAGAGAGAGAGAGAGAGAAGGGAGAGACCACTCACTGATTTTTTTTTAAATAAGAGAAATTGAATTATTATTATATTATACATCAATTCAAATATTTTTGATTTGAAGCATCAATTTAAAACTGAAATGTCTTTCTTTTTTAACAATTTATTTTTTCTTAAAAAACATAGCACCAAATTTGAAAAATTTTCCCATAAGATAAATCATGTATAGTTCAAAACTATATGTTTGTCCCCAAAAAAATATTTTACAATATCATATCATAAGTATATATTGCGCTTTCGTAATAACATTATCTAAATAAGATATATAACTTGATTTTTATTTTTTAACTAAGTTATTTTTCAAATCTACCTTTAGAAATTTATTGTTTAACTATTTAATAATATTACTAAAATAAACTTGTTTTTTATTTAACATGAATTACATTTTTTACTACATTTTTTTACTAATTTACATAGATTATAAACAAATAAAATCAGATAAACAAAATTGCTTTTATACAATGGAAATATTATATTATAGACAATATTGAGACAAAAACAATGATTGGCTGACCACAGAAAATGACTTAACCATAACTTAATTATTTTTTTAATTGATATATAATTACATTTTTAAAATTTACAACACTAGCGTATATATCAAAAGTTTGTAATTCATGTGAATAATATATCAGTTATTTAAACAATTTCATCTAATAGGTAATCTATTATATTAATTTATTACTAATATTATAATTTTTAACTATTACTATTGATATTTATTTTATTATGTTATATTAATTATTATACATTATTGTATTTGTAAAAACCAGTAAACTTTATTATTTATATTATTTATAATACCTGTTATATACAATTTATAAATGAAATAGTAAAATGTTTAAATGATAGTTTTTTTTAAATAATTAGAATTTATGTATTTCTACAATAGTGTGATAGTATTTGGTAATGTAATGTATGTAACATACTATGTATACACTAATGTAAACTACTATTACTAAATGTATGGTACAGTTGATAAATTTGTGAACATTCCTTAAATGTATATATGGTTTATATGACATCAGTTGGTAGTTGTGCTGATTTAGTTGTCAATTAGACACGTTTCTGTGCACTTGAATAACAAATAGTCCCCAACCCATGCAAACCCCATGTAAACCCCATGTAAGCCATGTCACTGTAACCTATCCTTTAGTTTGGGATACTTTATCCCTACGTGTTTAGTGAAATGAAGTGAAATAATTTGAGGGATAATATGTTGTCTATAAATACACGATGAATACACTTTTAAAAATGTTTAACCATTGAAATACTCAAAGATTTTAATCGATTTTTCTTAAGGAAAGAAACATTTGTTCCTTTTATTTACAGAATTTACTACTAATTCTTACATTTATATCAATAGCGTTAAGCATTAACTGTTGTAAAAGTACTAAAATTCTGTATTAAGTTTACTATATATACTGTATATACGGTATAACATTCACTGCTATTCTCTGTTAAGATAAAGATACTTGTTTTGGATAACAGGGATGACCATAACATGACTGTGTTATGACATGCTATAACCACACTACTAAAACACATGTGTCCATCAATGACCATGTTATCAATGTGAACATATTCATGGCTTATGGATCTATTCTCTATTTGGTTAATGTACTCATTATTCATATATAATATATAATATATACTGTATATATATCTCAGAGAGTCTCCAATTGTTGCAATCGGACTTAATATAGTAAGTATATGTGAGAGAACACACACGTATTCAAAAGTATGGTATTATTAAGTGAAAAACACATTTTGTGAATACTATAGGAGGTTAGATATTAAAGGCATGGTATAACTTGAATGGCATTCCCTAATAAAACTCATGGGTCGTGGATTGGACTCACACTTGTGGTATTGTTTGGCAAAAAATGAAGTTAAAACACTGGAATGCTATCAATGAATGAATGAAGAAAATGTAAAAAATAAACTTTTCTTTGCTTCCCATAAATAATAATTTATCTAATATTCAATTAAAGAGACTATTATTTGGCGCACAATTAACTTGAAATCTATCCAAAGTTGAGACGCCCTGAGGGGTCATTCGTGGACAGGTATTACATACGATCACATAGTGTATGATATAGTGAATTATATGAATAGAATTGATAAATAAAATATCGAAAATAAGTACCCAGGGCATTGGTAATTTTGTGTAAAAACGTTATGTACATTGCAATCAATGCAATGTGTGATATTAGTAGTAAAAAACGTTAGGTCTGACCAATAGTTATGTTTGGATGGCTTTCATGCCGTTTCACTGATTAAATGTCTCTTTATTGAACAGCAGTGAATAATAATAGTATTTTGCGTTTTTTTGAGTGTTTACTTGTATTGGATTTAATGTATGTATTGAGATATTGGATGTATTGGTAGTGCGTTAGTAGTAATTACAGCACATTTAGTCATATTCTTGAAAGACCTACCAATAAGTTGTCTTTTAGGTTAACGAAAAGCCGCTTAATATCTCTATTAGTGTTGAACTGTTGCCAACTGAGTCTCACCTCAGTATGTGTGCACTCATGTGTTTGAATGTGCGGGTAATGCGTGTATCATACCTATCGATTCACGTTTGAAAACCTATAAATAACATGAAAAGCCTTTTCGTGTTGAGGTGTATGTTGTCTATGTGTTGTGTTTAATGTAATGAAATCATACCTAACCTCAAGTGAACACTCCGGTGAAATGAATTCCTGTTTTTTATTCACTCTATCTATTATGAAGACCCTATAATTTTTAAATAAGCCGGCAATACATCCATATATATAGACATCATAACTAACTTAAGTGTTGTACTCTATAGCTATGTAGAGGAGCTAAGAAAAGGAGTTCCACTGCCACAGCTCTGGCCGACCACACATAGAGTTGTTTAATATTACTATATTATAGACTATATATACATTATATTATAGATACACACTTACATACACTAATGAAACTTTATTAGAGACAACACTCACACAACTAGATATGTGAGAACATAGGAAAGGGAGAGAGAGAGAGAGAGAAAGAAAGAGAGTAAGAGAGAAAGAAAGAGAGAAGAGAGAAAAAAAGAGAGAAGAGAGAGAGAGAGAGGGAGAGAGAAGAGAGAGAGAGAGAGAGAAAGAGAGAGAAGAGAGAGAAGAGAGAGAGAGAGAGCATCGGAGATACATCAGAAAGAAAAAGCTTTTGTTATGATAAGTGATTTTAATTTAATTCATATATTAAAACAATTTCCATTTATTAGTAGATATTTGAGTCAATTTGATAAACGGCGTGAATTGCATTATATTGGGCCATACATATACATATAGTAGACTAACTGTTATATGTAAGACCACCACCCGGACCACCCTGAATGGACATATTATGGATACCAATGCCAGCATTGAGCCCAAGGCTTGATCTGTGTCCGCACTCTGATTGTAGGTCTAATTCGTTACACACTTCACGGACAGACAAAAGAAGTGAAGATCAATGCATCCATGTTTTCCAATGCCTACCTGTCCTACCGTTTCAACTAATGTCTCTCTTTTCTCTCTCTCTCTCTCTCTCTCTCTCTCTCTCTCTCTCTCTCTCTCTCTCTTTTTTTTTCTCACTCAGGCTGACTAAAATTCTCTCTCTCTTTCTCTCTCTAGCATTCACTCACTCACTCACATATTTACTTATTTTAATTGAAAGTTTCACAAAATATTAAAAGTTATTCAGTATAGATGTACAGTATTAGCAATTTATTAATTTTTAACTTAATTTCTATATTTAATATTTAAAAAATTAGTTTTATTAAAACATTTGAAAATTTATCGTAAGAGTATATAATGAAATGTGTGTGTGTGTGTGTGTGTGTGTGTGTGTGTGTGTGAGAGAGAGAGAGAGAGAGAGAGAGAGAGAGAGAGAGAGAGAGAGAGAGGACGGATCTAACTTATTGTCTAATTTGTTTGGCATGTATAGGCCTCCCGTAAATGTGTGTAGATTTTAAAAGATAAATATTTATGTAAATAAATACACAATTTACGATAAATAAGCATACATATGTATTACAATTATTTAAGATTAAAATTTTTGTTAAACAATTTATTCAACAGTAAAACAATGTTGAGTTTAACATTTGTGTTATATTATAATATTTATTTTATATTTGTTTAATTTTTAAAATTGTTACAAACATATCTATTATTTTTGAATGTAAAAATATATATTGATTTTATAAAAAATGAACCTGTCACATTTACAGGTCTAATAACATAGCATTACAAAAGTTAAGCCAATTTTTTGACAGGACTCAAGTACTTAAACCAAATTTGGATCAATTTTCTAATAGAGTGACCAAACACTCTATAATTATTATTTAAATGTTTCATTGAAAAATACTTCATGTTTTATTAAAAACTTAGTTTATTAAGTGTTGTTTGCAAATATAAATATATAAAATTATTATTTACACAATACTTAATAAAATAATTTTAAAAATAAGTAACTCAGTAAATTTTAATAAATTATGTTAAATAAGAATAATATACTGTATAATAATATATTAATTAAGCATTGATTAATTTTAAAAAATTATTATTTATCATAATTTATCAAAAAAAAAATCTAATTGAGTAATCTAAAGAATATTAAAATTGTATGGATTTATTCAATTAAAATCTGGTAATGCTATTCACCACTAATTTCCTACTGACTTAACACTAATTTTATATATGTCTTATCAATGCTTCAAATCTATATCAAGAAAGAGAGGAAAGGTATGTCTGGCAAATGAGTGGTGTATGGCATCAAACAAAATGCCATTTACTTCAATAATGACGAACACAACCGCAGATTTAATTGACAGCAAAATTTAAATTCTTGTTTTGTAGTGTCGACCACTTTCTTGCCATTCATAACAGTTCTTACAGTGCTCTCTCTCTCTCTCTCTCTCTCTCYCTCTCTCTCTCTCTCTCTCTCTCTCTCTCTCTCTCCCTCTCCCTCTCCTCTCTCTCTCTCTCTCTCTCTCTCTCTTTCCCTTCTTATATGTTTTGTTACAGAATGTGTCAAAAATGATATTTAATTTATATTATGTCAATACTTTGAAAAATAGTTTACATAAGTATTTGTAAGTTAAATAAAATATTAAATAAAAATAAATAAAACATTTTGTAATTATCATAAATTATCATCAATTGATTTAATTTTTTTTTTAATTTAAAAAAGATAAATTAACAAATTTTTTATTCATTTTATTTATAAATTAGAAAAAGCATTACAATTTTTTAACTTATGATAAATAAATCAAAATTGATCAACTTTTATATCAATTTGTTAAATAAAAATAAAAATAATGGGCATATCGTGTAACATAATAATGATTGTAAATAAAGATAAATTTAAGCAATAAATATATTTAAAATATAAAAGTTATAATAAAAAATGTTTATCTAAAGAAACAGAAATTCCACTTCAATTATAAGATAATGACTACATTTGTAAATTAAATCAATTTTATTTTATTTTATATATAGAAATCAAATTTGTATAAATGTAATGTCTATATACTATATAGTATGTATATTATGTGTGTAAAATTATTTTATAAAATTAAATTACTATTTAAATTACTAATTCTATTTTATTTTATGTATATTATATTTATAATTAAATTTTATAAGATTTTAATTATTTTTCAATTATATAAACAAAAAGTTTATTATAAATTATACATAAGTCAGTAAATGTCATTTGAATCTATTTTATTAAATATTAAATTACAATGTTATTTACAAAACAAGTATAGCAAATAAATATAATTAAAGTGAATCTAAAATTTTTAATCATTGATCAGAGAAATACTAATAATAAAATAGTCTATATCTGTTAAAATAGGTTTTAATTATTTTATAGATAACTAGTTAAAAATGCTATGCCTAGCATTTCCAGACCAACTCCTGAATAGCATTTTTAATTTTGTTTAGAAATATTTCAATCATGTCTATTATATTATACATTGATTATTATATTATATTAGAAATATTTGTATTGAATAATGAGGTAAATATCCAAATGAGTGATGGAGTCAATTGTGGTGTCAAAACAATGGATATAATTGTAAATATAATAAAAAATTGTTTATTTAATTAATATATAATGTCTTGTATTGTCAAACATTGTAATATTGATTATAATTATTCATAAATTCCTTAACAAATGTGACAATTGTTTCCAAATATTCTTATTTTTACTAATTTTTTAAATCTTCAGTTTGAATCTGAATTTAAAATTATATTTTAATTCTGACAGTAAATTCCTATTCAAATGAGTTAATTAAAAAAAACAAAATCCAAATATAGGCTCAATAGGTCTAATGGGAATCAAAATAAAATTATGAAAAATGTAAATTCATGTAAATGCGAGGAAATTCACAGAAAATAGGAAAATATCAATAAATTCCTTAAATTTTAGAAATATTATATTATATTAAAATATTATTTAGGGTTCAAATGTGGTAGAAATAGAAAATAAATTCCCCAAAATTCTCAGGGAACAGAAACATAAGGAACTATGGATAATAAAACTAGGGATGGAATTTGAGTCAACCCTAATTATAATATAAATATAAAAAAATTACAGACCTGTTAGAGACTGAAAACTGAACTGATTTTTTTAGGTCAGGTCAGGTAAAAGTTAGGGCTCAGGTCAGGTCAGGTATGGGTCCGAACACCAAATTTTTTGGTCGGGTCAGGTCAGGTCCGAAATTTTTTTATTCATTATTTAAACGACAATTATTACAAAATATGAAAATCAAACACAAAATTTATTAAATTATTATTTATGAAATATTTGTATAAATTAAACATAAAATATTAGAAAAGATATTTTGATTTAATAAATAATAAAATATTAACTTTATTAGTATCTAAGTTAGATCTACGATCAGCTATCGTTAATCCCGAGTAATTAAAATTAATTTGTGGACAAATTTGTTGAGTGTATAGTATGAATAAAATTGTTTTTTGATAAAATTATTTTCGGACAGATATAGTCAGATCAGGTCAGGTCAGGTAAATTTGTACCCTATGTTAGGTCAGGTCCGAGTCCGAGATTTTAGGTATCAGATCAGGTACGGGTCAGGTACGGGTCAGGTACGGGTCAGGTACGGGTCCGAAACTTTTCGCTCTCTAGTATCTATAGTTTTTAATACAGTATAATATAACTCACTCTAGTGTTACAAAACTTTAATGTATTGCCAATAATAACAGTGATATAAGTGATGGCTATATAATACAGTATAAAAAGTATTGTTAATATTATTACACACTATATATACAGTGAACCAACACATTGTATTCTATAACATATAAAGTATACAAATGTATTGACAACAGGGGGTCAATGATTGCACACATTGTATACATATTTACTGTCAAATAATACAAATGGGGTTCAAATGTGTATCAAATGATTTTGACGTCATTTGTGTTATAAATTGAAATGTTTTGGATGTGTTGTTAAAGTGAAGACAAATAATTGATTTGTTTTTATAATTACTTTGAAGAAGTAATCAAAGACTTTGTTTTCATATATACTATCACTTGATTTGAAACGGATTGTAACCATCAATACCAACAATGCCACCGAAGAAGGTATCAACTAATCAGCCGTCGAAGAAAACGGAACAAAAGAAGAAGGAGAAAATTGTCGAAGTATTTGATTATCACTTAATTGGATCACATTTTTTTAACCACTAATTGATTCTTCATTTTTTTAGGACAAAACATTTGGTATAAAGAATAAGAAGGGAACTAAACAACAGAAATTTATTCAACAAGTGAACAATCAGGTCAAACAAATGGGACAGAAAAAGGTATATATTTTTTATGGTCACAATCACCATATGAATCAATTGTCTTATTATCTAATAGACTGATATACAACCAAATCAAGCGGTGGTTAAAAAGGAAGAAAAGAAGAAACTGACGGATGAAATGAACCAATTGTTCCGTCCGGTGACGACTCAGAAAGTTGAGAAAGGAGTCGATCCTAAGTCTGTTTTGTGCGCATTCTTCAAGTCCGGTCAATGCGGTAAAGGAGACAAATGTAAGTTTAGTCACGACGTGTCTGTCGAACGCAAGAGCGAGAAGAAGAGTTTTTACGTCGATGTAAGGAATGAAGACAATATGGAGAATTGGGACGAAGAAAAACTTAAAGAAGTTGTCGAGAAAAAACACGGAGAAAGGGAAAAGAAGTTACCGTCGACTGACATCATTTGCAAACATTTCATTGACGGTCTGATTATTATTTATATTATCTTATTATTAGATCTATTATTAGATCTATTATCGATTGTATTCCAATAGCTCTGGAAACAAATAAATACGGCTGGTTTTGGGATTGTCCTAATGGTGGCGATAAATGTCATTACAGACATTGTCTTCCGCCAGGATTTGTGCTAAATAAGGATAAGAAGAAACAGGAAAAGAAAGATGACATCACTATTGAAGAATTGGTTGAAATAGAGAGAGCAAAGCTTGGATACAATTTAACAAAAATAACTTTAGAGTCGTTTCTGGAGTGGAAACGAAAGAAAATCGATGAGAGGTCTGAAAGTGATAAAAAAGAGAGCGAACGGAAACGCGCCGAATATAAAGCCGGCAAAAATGTTGGACTCAGCGGTCGAGAAATGTTTACTTTTAATCCAGATTTAGCTTTAGATGAAGACATGGAGGAAGGAGAAGACGCTTATGTCCACACAAATGATGACAGTGATGAAGAAGATAATCTGGTTTACAGAGAAATTAATATTGAAAATCTTTTAGTTGATGTCAAAGCAGCGGATGGAACGGGAACTCAATGTACGACAAGAGAATTTCATACAAACACAGAACCGACTAAATCAATGGCAGAAGGAGGTGAAGCCGAATCCAACACCTGTATAGTTAACGAACCAATTGATGAATCACTTTTTGATTGCGAAGATTTAGATGAATTGGACGAAGAAATAAATTCATTGTCGTTAGAAAAATAAATGAAATAATATTTTAATTAATTATTTTTAAGAAATTTGTTCATAAAATTTGTAAAAAAACAAAACAAAAACTGATTAAATTTGTTGAAAACAAAAAAAATTTATAAATTATGACTCAAACTCTGACGTTTGCCAACCGAACTGTTGGCACTCAGTCGGGAACCGGGACTATAAATATTTAAGTTAATGGGCCTATCATTCATTGTTTCGTCTTCATCTGAGTCTTGAATATAAGCCCTATTTGGATGTCCCTGTAGACTACCATTTATATCAATGCCATTGCGCGGCCGTTTCGAGTCCAAAGTAGATCTGTTGGGGTTATTACGGACGAACTCGTTTTTGGCACCGAGTGTTTGCATACCGAGTCGAGTGTGTCCCTCACCGGCTATTAATGTATTTCTTCTTCTTTCAAGAGCCATAATCTGCTCTTTGTTTCGAATTCCTCCCAAAATAGGTGTTCCAGAGGGCATGTTATTCGACAAATTGAGGAAACGTTTTCTAAAAGCCACGTCTAATGTTCCAATTCGTCGGTGTTGTTGAAGACGTTTTTCTAAATTAAATATTGTTTTCCTCTTTTCGACCCGATTTCCGTATTCATCACTCTTATCATCTGAATCATCGAGTCCTCGAAGTCTTTGTAATTGTCGAGCAATTTGGACGGCATTCTTATCAATGAAATCATCTTCACTAACGTCTTCAACTTTAGGCGAACAGAGTGTCAATTCAACCGAAGCTATCAATTGAGTTAAATATTAAGTTTTTGTTTTAATATACCGGTAATTGAATGCTTTAATCAAACCTAATATATGTGAAAGAGTTCCGAAGCGATGGAAAAGCATTCCAACAAATTGTATGACAAGAATGCTTCCGAAGAATACGACAAATACCAAACCTATTGGTTCCAATTCCAAGTATTCCTTATCCACTATATATTCATTAGTATCCGGATTAATGGTAATATTTTCTCTGACACCAAGAGGCCAATCGACATGAAGTATCTCTTTATTAAGCTGAAGTAAAAAGACAACTAAAACGAAGAGAGCGTTTAACATAAAGAATGCAAACACTACTCGGTTTCGGAGTTCTTTGAGATCATTGGCAACTCTTTCCTGATGTTCTTTGTTTTGGTCGATTGGATACAAATATTTTCCAATCAGGTCTTTCCAGAACTGAATCTCTGATGGATGCAAATAAGCCACTTCTCCATTTTTCAAGTCTTTGTCTTCAATCCAATAAGGATTCAATAGGTCATCCCTATCATGCTTTCCTTCAGATTCTTTTTCATCCAAATTAGTTTCAGAAGTTTCAGAACCAAACTCCTCCTCCTCTTCTTCTTCCTCTTCATTTTCAGTTACAGTCGAAAGATTGTCTGAAAATCTGGCAGTTCTTCCAATAGATGTTCTCTTTGACTGAGCATTTGGATCAATTGCTTTTTCCAAAGTACTTAATTTATTTGTAATTGAATCCAATTGATCCTGTATTTTGACCAAATGTACGGCTTCTTCATTAGGTTTTGGATACGTGCAAAACATGCATTTGAAAAGATTTGCCAAATTAAATGTAATACTTCCCTCTTCTTTACGATTATCGCCAACATTGAGAAATCCGAGTAAATTCTTTTTTTTAAGTTCTTCGGTCGCCTTTTTCTCTTCTTGTAATTCTTTCTTTGTTTTCTTAGTTTGAACCTCACGAGTACCCCAAGTGACGACATTTAAGTTGATTAATGAATAGATTATAAGCAACAAATACATACACGGAATACTCAAAAAATATAACAATAGTGGCGCTAAACATCCTATTTCTTGTGGATGCAGAAGACCGGCAACAATGAAACTACCCGTTAGTGACATAAAAAATATGGCAGAAGGAGAACCAATACCGTCTTCAGTCATTTGAATAGCTTGACCCACAAAGACAGCCATCATTAATAGACAATAAGCAGCACTGAGTATTTGGGCCACAAATATTTGGACCTCATTTTTGGCCACAAAACAAATCAATATAAATGCGATGATTGGCATAATATTATAATAAAATGAGTCCCAATTTGATATACGAAAGGCAGCGACCAGAGCACCGACAAGCATAAGAAATATAGTTCCCGGACCTAGTATTGTACCGATCATTAACATTCCCTGATATATAATATATGGCAGCGATATATTGTCATTAACTTTAACAGTTTTCTTATAATCTCCTAATAAGTCCATTATATTAGCCATTGTTGATGGAGCCCAACGACGCCGTTGAGTATAAAATTCTCCAAAACCTTCGGGACATTGAGTATAAGCATCAGAAGCGGCTGAATATTCAACGCGATATCCTTTTGAATAATCAAAATATTTTTAATTTATTTTAAATTATCGGTAATTAAATTATATTTATAACAAACCTCTTTGAAGAAGAAGAGTACAGAGCCAACGATCCTCTCCCTGATCGTACTGTACATAATGTAAGGCCTCATCTGAACGTGCAGTATATCTTCGCATAACATTATCATCCATTAAAGCTTTAGCTCTAAATTAAAACAATATATTACTATTAAAAAATATTTAATTTTATATTTTTTAATTATAAATGTGGTAATACCTGAACAATGAGAAGCAACCGGGACTACACAATACACAACCAATCATATGTTCGGTTGCCTTTTGAAGCCAATGTCCGATTGCATATTCAAATTTTTGATACCTATTTTTCAGATCATTTGGTTAATTGTTACCAACATTGTTAACATAATAATAAAAATATGAGTGACTGACCACGTCATAAATCCCGTACCCACGGGATGAATACGACCGCAAGCGGCGCCAAGATTTCGGTTCTTTTTCATTAAATCAACCAATAGTTGGACGGCGTGTGGCCTGAAATTGATGTCTCCATCTAAAGTCAAAAGATATGTATTCTCAGCCATTATTGCCTTTCTATTCACATCTATTGGTAATTCCATGAGTCGGTGTCCCAGAAGATAATACATGTACATCACCTTAAAGTACCAAATAATGAATTTAAATAAATAGACAAAAAAAATAGATGTCTTACTTGACTCCATCTCTTTCTGTGTCTGATTTTGGCTTTGTCTTTGAGGTGAGCAATCAATTTGTTCTGTCCGGGCATTTTCCATTCAAGTCGTCCCCCGTATGGCGTCGGGATTTTGGTCGGTAGCTTAAGCTTAATGTTGCATTGATGCACATTACTGGCCGCCGTATCTATCACTTCAACTAATTGCTTAACAAACCGGTTGACAACCATATCCTCATCGTTTTCATCGCATAATTCAAACGCATCGTCAAAGAATATGTGAACTATCGGTTCAAATAAAATTATATACAGTATATACAGTATAATATTATTAATATTGAAATTACAAAAACAGTATCAATTGATTAAAAAGTAACCTTCAAATTCATAATAGTCGGGATCAACAATACGAAGATATTTTTGTGCATTTCTTCTGGCACTCTGGTCTTCATCCATTCTCATAACTGATTTAAGCATTTGAATCATCTCTTGAGCGGTCTCGTGCCACATCGTAGCGCACGCATAGATGCGTACAATTTGGTCACTACTATATGTCGATGACTTTTTCTTGTCGTCCATATTCTCGGAAATAGTTTCATAATGTTGTGATGGGTCCTGAAGTGTCGTTCCCTCGGCATCTAAGTTAATATCTTCGCTCTTAATTTCTTCTTCGTCATCACGTCTTCTATTAAAAGCAATTGATTGGTCAATAATTGCTCCGCAATACATAGGATTTACAAATAATTTCTCAGTTGTGGCCAATCTTTCGCACTTTGGCGCCCATATATGAATAGCTATCCAGGTCTGGGACAGTAACCATAACAGCCACATAATTGCGTGGACATTAAAGAATGGTTCATCCCTTATAAAAGGTTCTTCATTACAATACCAAAACAAATACTTGGGTATAAAAAAGTCGGATATTTTGCATTTATTGTCGAAATGTATGCCACAAAAGGCAATAAGTGCTGATATAGCGACCGGAACTGTTAGACTTATGGGAAAAGCAAAACTAAATCCTTGTATACATATCTTGCAGGCAAACTTTGCCACCACATAACACACCCAACTCGTCATTATTTGTGCCAAAATAAACCAAATCGGTATCGATGGACGAGAGTTGATATCTATTGATTCGGCTTCAATGCCAACATATTGATCCGTATTTGCCAGTGATATCAAGTCAGACCTATCTCTTTGAATCATAATTTTATGCGAACCAAATGCTTCATTAAATTTACTAAATATAGGTCTAACAGTTCCGTCCGTCATATATATTGAAAGCATCATAAAAATAAATATCAAAATGATTTTCCAAATCGATATAAATATAAACGTAAAATATCTGGTTTTATGTAATTTTTGCTTAATTTGTGCGATATTTCTAATAAAACTTAGCGATGCATTCCTGTCGACATAGTTTTCCCACCAACCGAGTGATACCAGAAAACACACAAATGGTATTAAAGATGCCATCGGATTGCGCTCTTGTTTGGCCACAATCGGCCAAATGATAAATGCTGTCAATTGTATTGAAACACATAGAAAGTCGAGTATTGTTTTGAATGCTCTCTTTGTTTCTCCGGAATGTCTCGAAAGCATCGATAGTAATGCCGGTGTAAAGCAGAGACAGTTGGTCAGCATTGCACCCTTGACCACATCCATTGATGGCAATATTACAAACACTAACATAACCAAACCAATTGTATGCAATGACTCCATAATAAATACCTAATTTCATTTCATTTAACTATTAATAAACTTTATAACAATTTATATGAATATTAAATAAATAAATAATTACTGTAATAAAAGTGCTTTTATCTGGAATTCTATATGATTTGAAAGTACATATTCTGGAACTCCTAAATAATGTCATAATTTCTGGCACAATGAGTATGAAGAATAAGCTCCAAATCCATACAACACGTTCGGGATCATCGTATTGAAAGACTGCCAAATATTTCTTATCCCTATCGAGACCGGGTATGGCGTGATTACACACCGAAACGGTTCTGTTGGCTCTTATAATAGATGTCATAAACAGGACAATGCCTTTGGAGAGCACAGCACACGACAAGACAATGAAAAAAGTGATGATATATGTAATGACTTTTAAAAATTTCAGTATTATTTCGATCCATTTCGAGCTTAATGTCTCGTCTTCATCATCACTGGGAGTCACCACAAACACATCCCATCCTTTAGTTTGTTCGCTAATACTTCTATCAATAGTTTTTGTAAATTTCAATTTAGTTTTACGAATGAACTATAATTTCCATTTAATATGTTATTATATAATTAAAATAATGCATTATATGGTATGACTGCCTAACTTGGATTTACTTAGCAATTATACGATAATAATTAAGATGTTATATTGTTTTTTCAACATTTAAATGTTTATCCGTGAAATTATATTTATATTATAATAATTGTTTTATATTGTTTTTCTATTGTACTAATTTTAAATATAAAAAGTTAGTTATAAATTATAACTTATAATATACTATATCTGTCATATTTAAAACAATAATAACTGATAAAAAACACAATTTTCCACAACCGGTAACATTTTGCCCCACATTATTGATTATTGTAATATTTTAATCATTTGATCATTACTTTAAGCATTAACTTATATAAAAGCATTACTATATTATATAATTTATTCTATTGTAAGCTAACATAATATATAACTGTTATTTGAATAAAGTTAATAAAAGAGTTAGAATTTTTTTTTAAATATATTAACTATGATTTATATAAATTTTTAAATAAAATAATATTATTTGATATGATTTTTATAGCAAATTAGTGACAAACCTGTTATATATATCATTAGTAAGCGGTGTCTTCTCGTCGTTGTCGTCGTCATAAAGTTCGATGTCATCGAAGTTGTCTCTCATGGCTGTCATATTGTCTTCAAATGCATTATTAGCTCAAAATATATAACAAATACCAAATCAAGTCAATACATAATGAGTTTTATTATATTTAAAAAATGTGTCAAAAACTCATATGAATGCCATTTCTGGAACTACACTATAGATTCACAGGTAGTTGTGTTGGCTCTCAATGTTTTACATAAAGACATTAGGAAGAGCTCACTGACTCTAGAAAACAACTCTTCAAAACTAATAATTACTTTTATAAAAAAAAACTAAACAAACTCTTAGTGTAAATGATTTTAACTAAAAATCACAGCTAATTGTGGCGAAAATCAAATATAAAGCAATTAATTTGAGAAAAATGTTTCTCCACTGGTTGTGACCATTAAATAGATGGTAAGGTATTGTAAGCCTGTATAAGATATGAATGTATCTCATTATACCACGTAATGACCTAATTCTGGGTAACTTTTTTGCAACTTTTTTTAGATTTTTTTTATTTCTTAAAGCTATGGCATTGCATGCATTGTAATTATTGTACCGTTTTGACTCAAATTGTATTACTATAAAATTAAAGTGTCTAATTTGTGTAAATTAAAAATTATGTTAATTAAATAATATTATATCAAATATAATTTAATGTTTTATTTATAAAATATTAAAATTAAATAAAGATAGTAAACAAATAATTTTTATTAATTAGAAATAATTAATGATAGAAATAAATTTATTAAAGTTTTTATAAAGTTTAGATAATTATTTTATTAAACTTAAATTACCGTAAAATTAGTCGAATTATACATTTTATTATATTTTTTAATTAATTTGAGAAAATATTATTAGAGTACACCTGAACTTTAAATACTATATACGAGAAGCAAAATGTGAGTGAAAACGGTAATTGAATGCAATGTATATTATATACAGTATTATACTGTACTCTATTGCATACCATTGCCATCGAACCGGTCTATCGAAGCATTGGCTGTACAGTTGTGTTGTCAGTCAAGGCTTAGGTGTCGACACCATTGGAGACAACTGTGCACTACATTGTTGTTATCCAATGAATAGATGCGACCATAGCTTGGATTAGCAGTGATTGAGAGGTTGTGAGCACTTGTGAGCCCACGATATATGACTTGCAATGTATTGATTGAATTGAATGCAAAACACAATCTCTTCACTCATTGTGTTTCTAATGCTTTTCAACACATAATTCATTGACCCTTTCGGTCACCAAAACGGATGTCCACAACAAGTGATACCCAAGAAATTATAATTGTTGTCATCAATTGATGCCATCGATTGACAACATTGTATGACAAACACTAACTGTCACAACAATTACATCCCAATTGTCATCACTCGCATCAATATATCATAATTGATGTCATCATATATTGAGCATCACTTCAATCAATGCATATATCATATCAAATACAATCCGTTATGTTTGAGGAAAAATTATATTAAATTATATTTATATTAATATAGTATATAATAATAATAATAATAATAATAATAATAATAATAATAATAATAATAATAATACAATAAAATTAATAATTATAATAACAATGAGTGAGTGAGTGTTTAAGCAGTGATTTCAATACAATATACTGTAGTTGTGGTGCTATTAAAGTGCTTTAAAATTAATTGTGTATTTATTTAAGCATTAATTGCATGTATTTAATGTATTTAATTTATTTAATATATTTATTATTATAATTATCAAAGATATCATATTTTACAGTAATATTATACATATATTAATATTTTATTAATTAGCTTACATTTAATGTAAAATTATTATATAACTTATATGACATAATAACTCAACAAATAATACAATTTTTTTGCACAATATTTGCTGACAATTGATGACAATGTCTAACGTAAGGGCAGAGATATTGGCGGCCAGTCGTACCCGCACGGGTTGGCAGGATGTGAGGCCACCACCACCTGATCGGCGACCAGTAATCGACTCTTTAAAAATGAATTTCGAGGACAAGTCCAGTGCCGATACACGTAAAGAGACTATGACTTCATCGGTGGCCAATAGTGTTGCAAATGATCTGAAGAGTGGTCGCAAATTGGGTTCAAAAGTGAGTCAAATTGCAAATCTTTTTCAATCATTATCACCTGCGACTACAAAAAGCAATGTATCAACAAATGGCAACAATAATGGTAATAATAATAATCACATTCAGACAGTGGATCTTAAGTCAAACAACTCATTACTAATCACTGAATCAATAGTCAAATCTAATAATTTAAATCTAAACTCAAATCAAAAATGTCTTCAAAATAAAACTCAATTAATAACTAATGGAAATAATGAAAAACTCAATAATGGAAATCAATTTCACAAAAGCAACGGTGAATCCGTTCATCAAAACAATGCAATAAATACTTCAAAAACATCAGTCGTGTCCAAAAAGATTGAGTCCAATAATAATAATAATAATAATAATAATGTTACAAAAATGGACACAACCTCTACGGCTCATAAAGGGGTCGTCGGTCCAGCCATTCGTCGTACAGAAAGCCGAGTCTTGAGATTTAATAACGCGAAAGCAATTTTCGAAAAACTTGAGATCAAGACTAAAGACAAAGAACCGACAATTAATACAAATGATGGTTTAGTTAGTGCCAAAAGTTTATGCCAGTCTTATAATACTGATAAGACAATTGAATCAAATGGTGTGACAAATAACAAAGTTAATAGTTGTAAGTCTGTCAATGAAATCTATAATAATCGTAACCGAGTTTCTTCTGTTAACACTATAAATTCTCATGAGTTGATTGATAATCAATCATTAATTGATAATCAATACAAAAAAGAGTTGAAAGATAATAATACAAGCAATGGTCGAGTGACAGACAATGGTATGAAAAGATCATCCAATTTATCGCGAAGTGTCGATCAAATAGAAGTATGCAAAGATGCGCCTCCCGTTCCACTGAGACGTTCAATAACATCACAACAATCTGTACCGGAATATGTCAAACAACACGATAACGTACCGAAACGTAGGACTTACCCGAACAATGCATGCAATGCCAAAACCACTGATTCATTTGAAAAGCTAAGCAATAATTTATTTACAAAAGAGTCGAGAGAGGAATTGATTGACAAAATTATTTTGGAGATATCGGACAATCAGAGTAAAGTGGATCACATGCAACTCAGTTGTCACAGTCTTCCAGATCTAAATAGTTGTGACACATCAGGCATTCCCGACATTTTGAATTTTGATGAATGTTTTAATGACGTCGAAATGATGACCGATGAAGAGGCACAAAAACTATTGAGCAGAAAGTCATGGCAAGACTTGTTTACCGATGAACAGCTCCAAAGAGAAATGGAGTCCGTATTAAGCTCTGAGACGGATGAGTCTCAACTGAAATCAAATAAAGTAGAAGATATCGAATGTGACAATTCAAGTGATATAAAAAACAATAGACATCCAAATGTTGGACACATTGAAGTAACAAATGGAAGGCCCATGGATTGTAAAACTAATATAAATGGAGACCAATCTATTGAAAGTATTAGTAGTGCCGATATATCAGTGACCGCCGACAGTCACAGCAGTTTAATGACTAATATTAGTGAAACCAGTATTACTTTGGGTGAAGTAGAATACCATTTATTATCTGACGGCCACTTTTACTTTGAAACACCCGGTCTGCCCGAAAATAGCGACGATGAGAATGAAGACTGTGTTTCAATGCTGTTATGTCCGGTTCCGCCGCGAAAGAAGGCAAAAGTCCGCTTTAGTTCCGGTCCTATGAGAGTCTATTCTACACATTCCGTTGAAGACTATGACCGACGTAATGAAGACGTGGATCCTGTGGTAGCATCAGCTGAATATGAATTAGAAAAACGTATCGAAAGAATGGATGTCTTTCCGGTAGAACTTATGAAAGGACCCGACGGTCTTGGACTTAGTATTATTGGGTTTGTTTTAATTATTAAATTAGACTTTTTTTGAGACAACTTTTGTTTAATACGACAGTATGGGAGTTGGCGCGGATGCAGGCATTGAAAAGTTAGGAATTTTTGTCAAAACAATCACCGAAACTGGTGCCGCAGATCTGGACAAACGGTAGTTAAACATTAAATTAAAAATAAATTTTTATATTACCGTAATTGTATATAAATATTTGTTTTGTTAGCATCAAAGTTAACGATCAGATTATAGAAGTGGATGGAAATTCTTTGGTTGGCGTCACTCAGTCTTATGCGGCGTCAGTTTTGCGGTCAACCAGTGGTCTCGTTAGGTTTCTCATTGGTCGCGAAAGGGACAATGCCAACAGTGAAATCGCCCAATTGATATCACAATCACTACAATCAGATCATTGCACTGAAAATGGATTTGACTCGCAAAAGGATTCGTACAACTCTTCTGATTCGCCAACCATTGAAGCCAAAGACGATGAAGAGTTAAATTCAAATGAATTTGACTCAGCATTTGATTCAAACTTTCAATGCAGTGATTTACTTAATGAATCAATTTATCCGACAACAGATGATACAAATGCATCCAAAGCTGAAGATTTGACTGAAATTATTATTTTAAGAAACAAATTACAAGATTATGAATCAAAGAATTCATGTCTTAATAAAGAACTCATAAAACTTAAACAAAAATATGAACAGAAAATATGTGAATTACAAAAACAATTGGAGGAAGCATTGGTTCTGTTGAAACAAAATGAATGTGCAATCAATAGTTCCCGAAAAGAGGTCGGACAGTATAATCGTCTATAAATACGATTAAATAATAATAATAATATATGCTATCCTTTACACACAAATATATATATACATTGATTTAATTGTATTTAAAAATTACATTACATAGTATTACTATTTACAATAATTTTAATTACAGTAATGCATGTCTAATAATATAATAAGCCATGTTTTCTAATTTTTTAAGAATATTTTTTTATATGAGTTTATATATTAGTATTTTCATTTATATGTATATTTTATACAATTCAACAAATTTTCTAATGATTAATCTATTTTTTGCTTCAATTTTATATACAAACCTTTTTTAAAGCGTACTTTTATATCTAATATTTGCATAATTAATGAATCATTAATGATGATAATCGTTATTAAGCTAAAGTACATCTAGTCTACAAGTTTTTTCAAACATAAAATAATGTCGGTTTGGTGTATAACTTAGTATTACTGTATTATTATTTTTAATTATGTGCTCTCAATTTTTACATATATTTCTTATGCATATCTCACTTATAACATAAATGTGTTGTTTTGACAACATTTTAAATATATTTTATAAATTATAAATTAAATGGATTGATATTTCTTGATATACAATATAAAGTATATATAAAATACAATTTCACAATTTTGACATTTACTTTAAGCTGTATTTTATGACCCAAAATCTAAACTATTCAAACAATTGTATTACTTATTAATCAAGTAATTCTTATTCTGTAACACAACAAAACTTTATTGTCTGTGATTTAAAATAGATTTTATTAATTTATAATATAATTTTTATATCATTGAATTTGTTTGCTATATAAGCGAAATCATAATTGATTTTATAGTATTTTTTACTTATGTGCCAATCGAGATAGTGTTACTTCAAATTTTGGTCATTATTTAATACAATTATTAACCAACAAATTATTAACAAAAAAGAAACAATTTTTGATTATTTAAAATATCTATCAATTATAATTGAAATTAGATTTTTATTTTATTGACCAAAATAATTATTTATTTAAAAAAAGATTTCAATAATAAATTAATTTTATTTATAATAAAAGTGGTTATATTTGTGGCCAAAAATTTTAGTAACACTATTGTCGATTTATATATTAAGTTAATGTAATAATGTATTTAATTTTAAATGAACAAAATATGGATTGCAATTAAAGACATTAACTAAATTGTATGTATTTATATTTATTTTGATTTGTTTATAATTTATTGAAATATTAATAATTAAATAAATGATAATTAATTTGGGTCTAAAAAATGAGTCCAATTGATTTAAACCATATAAATGACAACTAATTTGTGTGAATGCATGAAAAGGTCAAAGTAGTTGATAAATGATTGAATAATTGAATTGAAAATACAGTTATATGTATTGTATATAACTTGGTATATAATATGCCGGTGCAGTAGTAGAGGCAATGTATGCGCCAGAGATGCTGAGATATAAGGGATGGGTTGAGCGCAGGACAGCCATAGCAGACAATGAGAGGTTGACTTAGTTTTGATGCTGAGATGCCATTCATTGAGTGCAATGTTTGCGTCAATTGAATGCTTTAGACGAAGCATCACATCATTGCTAACACTGTTTCACTGAATCATTGATTCACTCAAATCTATAGCACTGTATGTACAGTATGTGTAAGTGTTTTGCGCCGATCATTGAGTGAACCAAATATTAATGATTACCGTTAATGACAATTAATTTTATGACAATTTTACAGCATTTAGTTGTTATTGTCATTGATATTCTTTTGATTGTTAAGTGGATTTGATCCAAACCATTACAAGCCATGTCTCCCATTAGAAGTACTGTACATTTAGTGAAAATGTCAATAACTGTTAATATTTAGTGAACGACTTATAAAACTCATTGAAATGTATGATAAGTTTTGTATTGAAATAAAAGCGGTTTTCAAATAGTAATCAATGAGAGGACGCATTTGATGCCAACCCTAAGCTAAGCGCTAGACGTTTATCCTATGATATGAATCCCAAAATTATTTCATACATTCTCTGCCAGAATATGACTATTTATTGAGAATATGGCCAAACATTACATTTAAAAAACACTCGTTATTGAGAAACACATGAAATGGAGCTCCGGTTATATGACTTGAACACTGGTTTGGCATATGATTGGGAATTGACTGGATTTATATCACATATAAATCTATGTTATGTTAAATGTGAGCTCACATATGTATATAAGCAATGTTAGTGACATTCACACCTGTTTTTCCAATGCTTTGGGCCATCAAATCAAAAGGATTGATATATGAGTTTACATTAGCTTTGGGTAGCGTTGCGTCCTTTCCTTTCATATGATGTGCTGTCACAACACATCACTATTTAATACCATATTTACAATATTATCAATGATTTCAATTCATTTATTTCATCTATTTATTGACTGTTTAACTCACTAATGTCTAACATATAGTTCATTGATGGAATCTAAACAACGCGGACCCGATAGTGATGAGGTGGCCAAAGATCCCGGTGCTCTTACATCACATCCCAGCTATACTGACAAAGATTTCGAAGGTTTGATACTTTTATATTGATTTATAATATTGAAAATTAAAATACTTGATTTACAGTAAAATAATTAGTATTAATTTATAGATCTGAATGAATTATTTGAAATATTTTAATTAAGATTTATTAGTCCAGAATAAATGGCAAGAATTGATCGATTATTGATTTTTTATATTACATTAATTTCAAGCTTTCTATATCTAAAGTCATACAACATATATCACAAGCACTTACATGTATTACAACATATACTTTAACATCACTTGCATTACAAATCAATATAATTGTAAATCATATTTTTTGTAAATATATTTTATTCAGTATATTAAACTATTAAAATATTTTATAATATTTAACACATTAAGTCACAAACATAAACGAGTCCTAATATAGTGATGACAAAACATTTTAAAAATTAGACTTATTTCATAATATAGCAAAACATAAGAGTTTTAATTTATTTTATGACTTAACATAACAAAAATAACAACTTATTTATTTAAATTAAAGGAAACATATTTTTTAGATTTATTTTTTTTGCATTTTGAGCCATTTATCTTAGTTTATAATAATTGTTGAAATATTAGAGGTTTTACTGTTAGAAATGTTTAACAAAGCTTATAAAACATTAAATATAAGAATCATTTTTCCTGTAATTCATTACAACTGTATTTCATTTACATCTAACTCTTAAAATTTTAAGTGATTTATTGATAAATTTTAATTTATATTAAGTTAAACAACAATATAAATATATACAGTATATATACAAACAATATGTAAAACAAAACTAATATTTAAGAAAAATGAATAAATAAATTTTATTATTAAAAGTATGATTTAGTTATTTACATTTAATTTTTTCTGAATAAATATATTAAATAATAAATAAATTTTCATTAAATAAGACGTTATATTTATATTTAGCAAACAATTATGAGCTTATATTTGATCCAAAAATATCAAATGTTTACATATATTAATAGTTTCATATATTTAGAGAGTGAGATATATTAATACAATATAATAATATATTAGCTTAGAATAGAAGATATTGAATATAATAGTAACATAAAACTCTTAACCGACAAACTATGAACCTGTAGGTCACAGAGCACTTACAGTCTATTGTACGTATGGTTTTCAAATGCCAACTACATATCGCCGAAGAGGACACCATCGGCGACACAAACATCACAAAAATGGCAATAAAAAGAAAGATGAAAGGGATGAACCAAATGATGGTACCCCTAATGATGACAACTTGAAGCATATAAGACCGGGTATTAATAAAAAGTCTTATTTTGTTGGATTAAATTGATTTTGATTGTCTTATATTAGCGGATAGGGTTCAGTTTATATTGGGTGAAGACGACATGGATGGCACTCATGAATCACATCCACTATTCAGTGAATTAGAGGAACTATGCATTAATGGCGAAGATGTGGAATGGAGAGAGACGGCCAGGTTTTAAATTGAATTATTATTATTATTATTATTATTTACTAAATTATAATTTTTAATTAAATTAATTAAAAGATGGATTAAATTTGAAGAAGATGTAGAAGAAGGTGGCGATAGATGGTCTAAACCACATGTGGCCACTATATCATTGCATTCACTATTTGAACTCAGGAGCTGTATATTAAATGGCACAGTTATGCTTGATTTAGAGGGAAGCAGTTTAGATCAAATAGCAGGCATGAATTCATTTAATTAATTAATTAATTTTATAATTTGCTAAAAGTACTTATATTAATACTATACTACTATTATATAAAGTATTAATATTGAATTCATGATTTTTTTTATAAAAATAGACTTAGTTTTAGAAAATATGGTAAATTGTGGTCAACTGTCGATTGATATTAAAAATAAAGTAAAGGAAGCATTACTTCGTCGTCATCGACACCAACACGAGAAAAGACACGACAAAAGTGATAGTAAGAACAGACTTCCGTTAATCAGATCCCTCGCAGACATCGGCCGTAATTCCAGCAAAAGTATGTTCGGCTCTCACAGTAAGTCACATATTATTACAATTTATTTTTGGGAAAAACATTTTATGGGTTAATATAATAAACAATATTTGAGAGGTAATAATAACAAAAATAACAAAATGTTGGAAATAATAGATTTATTGGACAAAGTGGGTGAAAGTTCTTCACCACCATCTGAGTGGAACCCATTCAGGAAGTTCTCATTTCAAAGTACTTTAGGACTTAATTTGGATAAACCAGGTCTTGAAAATACAAATCAGTTACTCTATGGCTGTTTGAATGAATTAGTGTCCCAACGATTACAAACTAATTATATAAAATTTTTATCCACTCATTAAAATAATAGCAATGTTATAATATTTAACTAATTTGACAAACATTGCCAATGGCTGTAATAAAATAACAATTGATTACCTGTAGTTGATTATTAACTTGTAGGAAAATGAGTTGAAATTGAAATATTTAGTTTAATTTAGATAATAATGATTATATATTGTTATATAGCGGGCAACAATCATGATGGTATACCCACCAGTCCAAGTGTCACATCCCTACACCTTCACGCCGGCAATCAGGCCGGCAACTCAGCTTCAACGGGACAGTTGTTAGCTGATACAAATGCCAGTTCCAGTACTGATTTGCAACACAAAGTATAAATTAATTTATTAAACATTTTAATTTAATTGACAATAATTGATGATTGCATTTGATTGATAGCTCAATCAGGCATTTATGCGTAAAATACCTCCCGGTTCTGAAGCGGACAATATTCTTGTCGGAGAAATTGATTTTCTCGAACACACGATATCGGGGTTTGTTCGGCTCAGTCAAGCCTGTCATTTGGGCGATTTAACTGAAGTACCGGTGCCAACAAGGTTTCTGTTTATACTTCTTGGACCGCACAGGTATATGTTGTTTATTGTCTTTATAAGTAATAAAAAAAATTTACAAAACTTAGAAAACATTAATTAAACTTTAATGATAGCATTCCGGGTCGATATCATGAAGTGGGTCGAGCTATGGCTACTCTAATGTCTGATGAAGTAATTATTTTTATATTAATTTTATTTAATAGATTGCGTTTACAATTTGTATTTTACTATAAATAAGATTTTAATTTTATAAATAAAATCAATTCTAATTATTTTTGCTTACTTTAAGTTATTTTATTTATTTAAAGCAATGTTTTTCCTAAATTATAATTATCTATAGGTTTTCCATGACGTGGCTTACAAAGCAAAAAATAGAGAAGACTTGTTAGCCGGAGTCGACGAGTTTTTAGACGCAGTGGTCAGTTGTCTCATTAATATACAGTATATACATAAGATGATTACAATTAATACATTAAATCTTTTACAAAAAAATATAGACAATATTACCTCCCGGTGCTTGGGACCCAAACATTAGGATAGAGCCGCCACAACAATTGCCATCACAAGAATCACGTAAGAAACACGACGGACAACAGGAGCACAAACTCGATGAAGAAGACGAAGAGGAACGCGAACGGGAGGCTATGGGTCTTAAGCGAACCGGAAGGTATGGTAATTATATTTTCATAATTTATATTAACATTGATTGTTATATATATATATATATATAGATTATTTGGTGGTTTGATTAACGATGTCCGTCGCAAACTTCCGTGGTATTGGTCCGATTTTAGAGATGCCTTAGTTCTACAATCAATCGCATCAATATTTTTCTTATACTTCGCGTGTTTGACGCCTATTATAACATTTGGTGGTCTGTTAGGAGATGCGACTGGAAATAATATTGTAAGCGATTGATTGAACTAAAAAACAAAATACATTGTCTCAGACACTCAACAAAATAGCTTTTAAAAACCCAATGATTCAAATGCTTAAAAACAAATTGTTTAACTCAAATAAGGCAACAATGGAAAGTTTGATGAGTGGACTGATTTGCGGTCTTTTATACGGCTTTTTCAGTGGACAACCGCTTACTATATTGGGAAGCACTGGTCCGGTGCTTATATTTGAGACAATTCTTTACGATTTTTGCAGGCAATTAACTCATCATTCAATTAATTGTTGTATAAATTTAATTTATAATTAACTTAAATGTATAGAACACATGATTTCCATTACCTAAACATCCGCTTATGGATCGGTCTATCGATGGCTGTAATCCTTCTGGTGATGGTAGCCGTCGACGCCAGTGCTCTCGTCTGTTACATAACCCGTTTCACTGAAGAAAACTTTGCAACACTTATAAGCGTTATATTCATCTATAAAGCCATAGACAACGTAAGATAAATATAAAATAATGATAAAATTAGTGATTATTATAATCTTTATTCATATAAATTAAAAGCTCATCCAAATACGCAACGAATATCCTATAAATCCAAATCCTAATCAAATATTAAACTATTCGTGTTTTTGTTCGTTTAACAATCAAACCGAGTATTTGATTCAAGAAGTGTCACACAATGAGACTGAGATCAAGAAGTGTAAGTCTAGTGGAGGAGAGCCGATAGGCATTGGCTGTTCGGTACCTAACTATGTTCCCGATGTCTTCCTGCTGTCGGCCATATTGTTTGCGGGCACTTATGTCATCTCATTTATGCTTAAGGAGTTTAAGACGTCCACATTCTTCCCGACTAAATTGCGCCAAATTGTTAGTGATTTTTCAGTTCCCATAGCTATCGGTGCGATGACATCCATTGATTTTATGATTGGAGTAAATACACCAAAACTGTTTGTTCCGGACAAATTCAATGTATGTCTTAATTTTTATATCATTTACAAAAACATATAATATATGACTAATTCACTGAAATGATTGTCAAAATAGCCCACTCGTGATGACAGAGGTTGGATAGTACCGTGGATTCACCACAAGAATCCCTGGTATATACTTGTATTAACACCATTACCAGCGCTTTTGGCGACAATCCTTATATTTATGGATCAACAGATCACAGCTGTTATAATCAATAGAAAGGAATATAAGCTTAAAGTATAAGAAATTTAATTGATTTAATATAAACAATATATTTAATAATTTTGTATTTATAATAAAATCAAATGTATATTAAATGTAAACTTTTGATCTTTTATATAGAAAGGAGGCGGTTATCATTTGGATCTGTTTGTATTGTGTATATTAATAGCAATTTGTTCAATAATGGGTTTGCCCTGGTTTGTAGCGGCAACTGTATTGTCAATGACCCATGTCAACTCTTTAAAAATGGAGTCCGAGTGCTCGGCTCCGGGAGAAAAACCACAGTTTTTGGGCGTTCGCGAGAATCGTGTCACTCATATTTGTATCTTCACTTTGATTGGTATGTCAGTGTTTTTCACCAAAGTTTTACAAAAGATTCCGATGCCTGTCCTCTTTGGTGTCTTCTTCTATATGGGAACGTCATCTCTAAAGGGTTCACAAGTAATTTTAATAAAAAGATTTTTAAAGTTTTGATAACAATAATTAATTTATGATTTATTAATTGACAGTTTTTCGACCGGATTCTCATAATGTTTATGCCACAGAAGTATCAACCAGACTATACATTCTTGAGACACGTCCCGACATTCAAAGTTCATGTCTTTACGGTTATACAATTGATATGCTTTGTAATCTTGTGGTGCGTCAAGTCATACAAGAAGACAGCCATTGGATTCCCTCTTATGGTTTGTTTTTAACAATATTTTTTATTTTTATAATTTTAATTAATAACATAATATTATGTCAACAGCTGGTCGTTATAATATTCATTCGCAAACTATTGGATCTGTTTTTTACAAGAAATGAGTTAAAACTTTTGGATGATATAATGCCAGAACACACAAAACAAAAGAGAGAAGAAGAAAAAAGAGAAAAAGAGGCCGAAAAAGAGATGAGAAGCGGAGCACTCATACCTAATGCCAGCTCTGGTAATGTAGCCATACCTTTGGCTAATGGAAATATATTGAAGATTCCTATGGAAAACTTTAACGATGAAGAGGATAAGCCGTGTACTATCAATATTACTGAACAGTTGGCTAAAAGCGGTGCCTGGAAGTCAATTGTCGACCAAAGTTTGCAAAAACTAAGCAAAAGTACTAAAAGTAACAGCGGGTATGTATTGACTTTAATTTAATTATATTCACATAATTTCAATGCAATTAAAATACGAGAATTTGTTTAATTTGATTACATATAAGAAATAAGAAAAGAGGAAACAAAAAGGATGCGAAAACAGAAGAGGAACAGAAAAGACTGTCCACAATGAGAGAAGAGGACGACGAAGAGGACTGCGGAATAACCATTAGAGTGGACGCTCCGACACCCGTACCGTCGATTGTGGCCTCAAATCATAATTCACCGAAAGATGATAGAAATGAAACCTCTGTATGAATTCAATATGACATACAGTAAACCAATGATTATATTATCGTATTTTAAATTACCAAATAATAAAACAATAATATAATCAATTAGTTAAGCAAAATATTTAAAAAATACATCAATTATTAGTATAAAAATTTTATTATTGATAAATAGTTTTTAATAAATTACAATTCATTTTATGAAAGCATTATAAATGATAAATCAAATATTTTTTATTAATTCAATTAATTATTTAATAATCAATTTTTTCATTCATTTTTAGATATTTCAGTAAATATGAAACAATCTTTCGAAACAAATAATTAGAAAATAATTTATAAAAAATGAATCTTTTCTTAAAAAAATTAATAATAGTTTTTAAAAATCTAAAAAAATCATTAAAAAAAATCAATTTTAAATCAAGTAATTCAACGCTTTAATGGTTATCTCAACTCATCTTAGATATAGATTTGAAAGACATTAAGACATTCATCGCAATCAACAAAAATCATCACTACTTTTGACATCAAATGGCAGACAAGTGTCCAACTCTTCACTGGTCTGACCACTCATTCATTGAATTCATTTATTTTAGATTTCATTTTAGTTAAATTAATTAATTAACTAAAATGATAATAATTAGTATATCATTTATTTTATTGTCATAATAAATCATTAAATCATTGTCTAAATTAAATTCAAATCATTGTCACATCAATTGCCAAATCAAACCATTAGTTGTTTGATATAAATATCAATGATATTTTAAAATTTCAATTTATTTATTCACATAATTAAATGCTTATATTTCAAATGTTGATAATTGTAGAGACAATGATGATATGTCATCAAATCAAGTGATATTATGATGTGACTGTTGTGATGGTCATCACAAATATCAATGATATAATCGATGATTATTTGTAATCAAGTCTTGACATAAGTTTTTGATTACAAAATTTGTATTTAAAATAGTAATTATTGGAAATCATTAAATGTATCGCTCAATAAATGAATTAAAATAATGTTTTTTTTCCAAAAATATAATCTAATCCATAGGTATTTTTCATTCAATTAAATATATATAATCCAAGATAAAAATTAAAAAGTTATCAAGTTTATTTATTTCTATTGTATTGTATTTATTATTTCCAAAAAAAAAAATCCAATAAAATTGTATTTTATTAAACTTTTTTTACATTATTTGATAGTTTAAAAAATTTCAAACTTTGTATTCAATGTTACAAACATTAGACATATTGTGATTACGTTTGTTATGTTGATCTCAACACTATTGACGCCAACTATTGGGATAAACATTGATTACAAACATTGTATTGAAATATATTAATAGTAATTGTTTTGTAATACTGTACTAACAAACAGTGTATTAATAATTACATCACTTTTCTTATCAATGTTTGTTTTGAAACACATTTTCCATAACCATTGAGGAGATAATTAAGATTATCACCAATTAAATGGTATATATATATATTAATACATGATATTTACATAAACTGTATGTAAACAATGATATTGTTTATCTTCAGTCGACATACATTACGGCTGGTCTGGCTTTGGCCGCCATAGGCTTTGGAGGTAATAATCACATTATTTGATCCAAAGATCATTATTACATTTATTTTAATTATTATTTTAATGATTAATTTAATTGCTATTTGTTGTAATAAATTATTAACTAAAAGGAAGAGCGATATTACGGCGATCACGAGGTTTGACTGAAATGTTGAACAAATCTTTGCCTACTTCTGGAGTCAGTGAAGACACTTTTGATTACAAAATGATTTATTAATTGTTTTTGATATATATATTGATTGATGTGTTCAGTCGTTTACAAATAGTAAGTACTATAAGGGAGGCTTTGAATCCAAAATGAGTCGACGAGAGGCCGGTCTTGTGCTGGGAATCAGTCCGTCGGCTACTAAGACAAAGATAAAAGAGGCTCACAAACGGATTATGCTTTTGAATCATCCCGACAAAGGTATTACCACTTAATTGTCTTATTTGTCAGATCTATACTATTATTGATTATCTTCAGGTGGATCACCATATTTAGCCGCCAAGATTAACGAAGCAAAAGATCTGCTTGAATCCAACCGATCCGTAAAATGAGGACATTATTATCATTGAGTTTATAAATTATTATTTAGATATCATTGTATATAAATTATAATATATATATATATATATATCATATATATATTAATTTAGGCGCTTTTATTAAATAAAATAAATTTTTATAACTACAGTAATACTGTTTAGTTTGCTTTTAATAATTATTCAAAGAAAATGTGTTTATATTAGAAATACTGATTGTTTAAAATGTTATTAATTTAAATATCCATTGATTAAGTATAATGAAAAATAAATTCAAATATATTTTACCGGTAGGTATTATTTGAACATTATTTACTACAGAGTTACGGTATGTAACGGTAAATGTTTATTAAAATACTATCATAACTGAAAAACAACAAAAAATTATAAAATTAAATTTTGTTTACTTAGTTAGTTAATTAAAACTTAGTTTTATAATTAAAAAATTTATTAGATGTATTAATTACCTGATGTATGGTTATTGACTTAAATATATTTGCCGTATAATAGTGTGAAAAGTGTTACCTATTCTAAGCTAATGTTTGCTAACGAAAGCTAAACCTAATTAAATAAAAATACAGAGATGTACTAAATTGACAATTGATATAATATTAATTATAAAATTAAGCTTAAATTAATTAGTAAAGTACAAATAGTAAAGTTAAATTATTATTTTTTTCCCCATTAACGTTGTATTTGACATTTACGGTATTTAATTAGTCATTAACATCATTACCGGTAGATTTCAGCTATTTATTAATACTGTATTAAATATTGATATAATAATTAAAAAATTAAATTTTAATAATCATATATTTTATACTGGATTTGCATTCAAACTATACGACTCAAAATTATATGAATTGCATTTATAACATTTGATGTAAATTATGATAAATTTTTTTTAAATGTCATTCATGTTAATTGAAATTTTACAAATACAATAGTTTAATTTAAAAACTTACTGTAATTATTTTCAAAATATAAATGACAAATATTTGATGTTTTATTTGATAAATCATTTACATTAGATACTGGAAAAATTCATAAGCAATTTATTTTATAAAAATAAGTTATTTGAAAATCATTTAAATAATTCAATTTCAAGGATAATTTATTATCAAACAGATTTCAATAAAGAGCACGTATTAAGCATTTAAATTAAAAGTCTATTTAAAGATTTTGTTTTTATAATAATAGAGATTATTATTGAAATATTGTATATATTTATATAATATACAATACATTATAGTAGTTTAGTCTGAATAAAATCTATATAACATTTATATAAATAATATGATTATTTAAAACGAAATTATAAATTATTGTTCAGATGATAATTATTAAACCGTAGAGTATAATAACAATTTATAATTTGTAAAATTATTAAATTTATATTTTAGACAATCTTAAATATTATTTCATTTAATATCATACAATATATTGATATTTATTGTTAGTTTAATAGAAATAATATTCATTATATTGTATAATATAAATACGTATATACTGTATTTTAAATATATAATAAATGAAATAAATTTTAAAAAATATTTTATACTTAATATAAAACTTTGAAATCTCAGGAAGAAGTTAAATGAATGTCAGCACGAAATGAGTTTTAAATTTTATAACAAACTGTACTTTAATTTCATTTAACAATTTTTATATATTTCAGGAATTTCTAACACTATTTTCAAATTTGATTTATAGTTAAAACCTTGTTTTAAGTTGTTATCATTGATTTCGTGAAAAACCTAATTACAAAAATCTTAAAAATCTGTGTAATGATTACTATTTATTATTTTAGTAATTAGTATAATTTGTTTTGATATTATGATATCATCTTTAATGATAATAATGTTTATTAAATACTGTAGTATTTGGTTTAGTTCACAATAGTTAAGTATGGATTATATTATACTGTATTATAATTCAAATTTTATATACTGTATAAATATGTAAAATTATTAATTATCGGACTATTATCTGTCTGTCAAATATTATTTTTTTAATAAAATAATACACAATTGTTTGGTCGGGATATACAGTAAAATAAACAAAAGGAAAATTCAATATTGTTTTAGCCGTAAAAGTATTTCGTGAATAAATTGCTTTATATATTCATCAAACAAATCATTGATGCATTACTTTCGTGACTATTATTCAATTTAAAACACAATATCAAACAAAAGTTTATATAATATATTTACAATCAAATACAGAGTTTTTCACAAATTCTTTCTTAAAAAGACTAAATTTTATAACTTTTTAAAATAAATTTCACTTTTACTTTTTAATATTAAATTACAAATTTACTAATAAAGACAATAAATTATAGATATTATTCAATATATGTTGTTTATATAAGTGAGTCAAAATTAAATTTTGACTTATTATTACATAATAAATAACTAAACAAACATTTAACATAATATGATTTTAAAAACTATATCAAAATTTTCATATTCAAGTAATTGCATTATTTATTTTTGTTAATAATCTTAAAAACTACTGTATATACAGTGTATATACTGTACATAAGACAAAATATAAATATTTATAATAATTATAAATTACTTTTCATAATTTTATTTTTATTAATTAATGATTTTAAATATAATAACAATTGACTTAAAAATAATTATATTATAATTAAAATATATTTATATTAAATTATCAAATAATAAAGCATTAGAACAATATTAAAATTATTTGATGATTAACTCATAGCTTTTCAATTATAACGCTACTTATGAAAGACATTGTACAACACTGTATTTTAGTTTATTTATTATATTTTAAGTTATCAAAAAATAATTCAAATATTAATAGTTTTATTACTGATTATCAATTTTATTATTTACATCAAACAATATTTCTAATCATTATTTTTATAATTATTTTTATAAAAATTATATTACTAACATTATATTAACATTTAATAACTACAGGTATTATAAATTAATAATGTGATAAGTTTTAACTTTTATAAATAAATATTTATACAGTACTGTACATATTTTATAGCATACAGTACATGATAAACGATATTTTTATTAAATAACACAATTTCACGACATTGTTATATATATAATGTATTTTTATTTTATGATTCAACGTTAATTGCGTTTAAATATTATAAAACACATTAATAATTAAATAATACGTTTGCTTATATTTTGTTTTGTTTTATTTATAATCCAGTATTTGTTTTTTATATTTAGTGATTACTGTATTTTAATTTGACTAATTTATCATTATATATTGTTACAATTATCAACTATTCAAATAAATGATAAAAAAACTTAAGTTATTATTATTTTTAGATACCCCTATACTGGTATTGTCTGTGAATATCTAAATTAATCAATTGTTATTGTATTAATACCTGTATAATCTTATTTTGTAATATTTTCATTGAAGGAAATTTTTTACTAATTATTTGTTGACTACGTTTATATATAATTAGTTTCCTTATAGTAAGTGTTATTATAGAACATCTATTATTATAACAGAATAACAATATACTACTAAATATAAGTATTTCAAACTTTTAATGTGTGTATACTTATAATATTAATTATTTTAAAAATAATTTTATGAATTAAATATGTAATGCATAATACTGTACTTTATATCCACATGTTATTATTAAGCTGTGCTATCATTTTATTAATATAAATGTGTTTGAATTTATCCAAATAATCCAAATTTATAACAAATGACTTAAAAAGTACTGTATATGCCATAAGTTATTGTCATTTGAAATATATTCATACGTTAAGTACATTATAATACTATAAAAAAATTAATTCATTTTTTATTGTAGTATTAATAAAGTACTTTATAAACTTTGTTTTTTCTGTTTTATAATAAATAACAATTTTATGGTAAGGTTTTTAATTGCTTTAATTATAGTAACTATAAGTGACTACACAGTAATGTAAATTTAATGCAAGTTTGCGATAATTTATGACAATTTCATTGGAGGTCTAACTGAACGTCACATTCTTTACATTAATTTTTTGATCCCTAAAGACATATCGTATAAAATGTTTAAATGTTTGACATTTAGAGTGAATTTCAAATTATTATACATTAATATCTATAATATGATAATACAGTAACTTATTTACTGTATATAACATACCGGTATATAATATATATATATATATACTGTATAATACATGTATTATATAAAATTAGGATAACCTTTGGTTTGGTAGTAAAACTACAATACCTTTCAATTCCTGTAAAAGACTTGTTTTGAAAAGTTTTTTCAATATTTTATTTGAGTTTAGGGTTTAATATTAAGCCTTATATTTCAAGTATTATTAGTATTATATGTATTACTAACAGGTATTGAACACTGGGTTGGAGTTTATGAGGGACTGGTGGCTGAGGCACAGGTAGGACTGGCTCTCATTAACTGTAAATAAATGGCTGCGAGCTATGAGTTGTTGTATCAAAAGAACAGTCCGAACAACGATGTCTTTTAGATCCATGAGCTGAACAATGTTATGAGGGATCAGTCATATGATTACACATTTTAACCACTGTTTCCTAATACTCCCGAAGCCATCAATTAGATGCCAAACATCGACACGATATGTGGCGAATCAATTCAGTCGAAGAAATCACTACCACAACCACTGAGTCCTATTCCGATGAAGACGATGACGACCAACACTATCATCCTTATCGGTCACTCAACTTCAATGATAAACCTATTAAAGTGCCATTTCCTGAGGCCGGTGTCGATATCATTGATATCAACTATGAAGACCTTTTGCTCAATAATGATAGCGATCTGACACATGAAAGTGGTATCAAATGTATTGAATGCCAGAACTGGGAGGAGAACTGGCTTTTCAAGAAAGGCAAACGATATGATAATAAGTCAAATATAATGTATGGATATATGGCTATGATTTTAGCCGAACTACCCGTTTGTATGTTAGTCCCGAATCCAATCGATAAGTTGCGAACATTGGTTGGCAATAAAGATATCGACGAATTGTCGGATCTGTCGGAACACAATTCTGTCGGATCTCTTGAGTTTTCTGACGACGAAAGTGATACTGAAGACGATGTGATTAATGAAAGTAATGTTAACAACGACGTGACAACCATTGACACCAATGATACCAACAAAAGTGAATCGCAAACCAAATCATTTGATAATGAATGTAATGAAAGAAAAATAGTTGTCATTTGCAAAGTAGTCAACACTACTACTAAAGAGTATAATAATAACACAAAACCCACCGAAACAACAGTCAATAAGGAGGAGAAGCCAATCGTGAAAACGGTTACAAAAGTGCCTAATTATCTGCCAAAAGAGTTAAGAAATACTTCAAGCGATGATAAGAGTGACCCATATCTGGTGCTAAGACCCGGTGACGCCAGTGTTCACTCGGGAATAACTGTGCAATTCTGCTGTCGCGCCAAAGGGTCCAAACCTCTGCTTTATTCGTGGTTTAAAAACGACGTTATTCTAAATTCAGACAAAGATTTTCATATTTTTCAGAGCGGAGAGGAGTCTATCCTCGAAATTATGAATACCAGTCCCAACTTCAGTGATCAGTATTCATGTGTTGCATACAACAGCTTTGGCTATCAATGGTGTGACTTTGTTCTTGAAGTCAAAAATATTAATTTTTTAACTAATAAAATGCCGATTAAATTGAAAAATATTAGACAACAAAATATTGTTAATTGTGAGGTAAGCAGTGATTTCAGTTATATTTTAATTATTTTGTGATGTTTTGCCTGAAATCTAAACCAATTAACGGTTTTGGTGTTTAACTAAATGCATGATTTAAAGGCTGTTATTAAATCAGACGCCAATAAAATAACTACTAATCCAAAGCATGACAAACAAAAATCGCGTCCAAAAGTTATTCAGCGAACTTGGAGTGAAAGAGTCGCTGAATTGCAAAATATTAGACATTACTTCTCAAGAGCTCAGGTACTTCACTCCAAACAAATACCATCTATTTATATCATTTATATTTAATGTATATCTTTTAGGATAATCACGATAATCAACCCAATAATGATGAGACCGGTGACATACCTGAGCCATTGGCACCACAAATGTCTTGTGCTATTGCTGAGAGGGAACATAAAAAATGGGAAAATCCAGACATCGATTGGAAGGACAATCCGTATTCAATTGAAAATCTTAATTCTCGAATTCAACAAAGAAGTATATCATTAAGTTTAGCAAACGAGTCATCCATTGAAAAATCAGATGATAATAATGAAGATAATAATAATAATGATAACTTAGATGAAAATGAAGACAACATTTCTTTTTTGTCTTCTACTTCTAAGGATGTAAATCGATATAAGAAAGACTATTATGTGAAACAATTAAATAATAATAATAATAAAGAAGAAACTTTGAGATCATTTGATGAAAATGTATGAAATATTTTTAATTTTGAATCTTTAAAAGTTTTACCAAAATGTTTATATTTTTTATTAGGAATATTCAAATTCAAAATATTTTGAATTACCTGCAAAACAACAAACTAGAAAATCATCTGAAGATATGTCATCACAGATGTCTTCAATCACATCAAATGGCAAGACATCGGCAGAAACGGAGAGTGAACTCATTTATTCAGATTGTGATCAAAAAAACATACCGTCGGTTAAAGATTTGGTCAACAAGTTCTCGTTTAGTGACCAACGAAATCATAGGACACCAAAACTGTTTGATATTAAAAGAAAAAACAGTTTCACAGATATTAAACTCAACCACATCTCTAAAAATACTTCACAATCTAATAATTTCACGGTTTGTATTTATTTTTTCTATTTATGTTTTTTAACAATTACCGCAAGGCTTTTAAAAATATGCCTCAAATATTTAAATTTTAAATATTTGCTGCATAATTAAATTGCCATATAATTAAAAAAGTATCAAATTATTTACGTATTTTAGGTTAAATATTTTGTTGTACAGTATATCTACTGTATTTAAATTTACATAATTTTACGATTCAATTAATTTTTAATAATTTCATATATTTTGATAACTTAGTAAACATTAATATAATGTATAATACGGTAATAATTTTAATATAAAAACATTTGTCCAAAAATTAATTGCATGCCGTGATATCGCACTTAATAAGTTAATATAAAAGCATAGCATAACATAATTAAAGTATATCCATATCTAAATATTTATCTTAAAAATAATCTTAAGGAATGTTAAATTTGTTTATTTATATAACAAGAAACAGTTAATTACATAATTACAATATACATAGAAAACAATTACTGTAATACATGAATTAACTAACAAACAAAAACAATTACAGGTGTTAAAGCTAATCAATTAAATATTTCATTTGACACCACAAGTATTTTATTTTATTTTTAATTAACTTTAACCGAAATATAAGTTAAAAATAGCTATATATTTACAAACATATAGTTAATTATGTTTTGTTGTTTTCATTAACGAATTCTTGATTTTATAAAAATAAATGCTATAAAAATATTAGTATTAATTAGAGTTAAAATATATATATATTTGAATGCAATAATCATATTATTAAATGAATGTTTTATTTATAAATTATAATAAATGTTAATTTCCTGACTAATAGGTACACAGTCTTACCGCAAGAAGTATGACCAGAGAGTTCCGTCAGCGGTCACAGTTGAATGTCCCGCGAAGTCAACTCAACAGAATGGATATCAATAGCCATAATAACAGAAATGTTAATTTCGTTGAAAGCGAATCCAGTAGTCCTTCAACTCCTTGCAGTCCTACTAATGATGGGTTTGTTTAATCAATAGTTTAATAGATGTATTCATTTTAATATCTATTATAATTTGGTATCAGATATACTTCAGATGACAGTAGTATTATATCGAGTAATGGAAATTTGTCTTCAAATGTGGTCAACGATACCACTGGTAATGGTATCGCATGTCATAAGAATAATCTCATTCATGCAAATAATGATCGAAAATATAGTCCATCGATACTAAAGAGAGCCACTTATTGGCAAAAGAGATGTGAAAATGGATTGCTTTCCGATTATTCAGTCGCTGAAGAGTTTCCTCCAATGGAGTCATTTGTCGATTAAACTGTTAAATGTTTTTAATATATAAACGCCTTATTTATTAAATTTATTCAAGAGATATCATTATATAGTTGTTAACTTAATTACAGTATTAAATTGTATTAAGGCTTCATTTTTGCCATAATATCCATTAATGCATAATAATTGCCATCACATGAGTGCCATAATTGGCATTTGACTGTAATTATAATTTTAAACACAGTTTTCACTTAATTTAAATCATTAATAGATTGATTGCACAAAAGATCTGAAACTATTTTATAGTCGTATATAAAAAAAAGTTTTGTTAATTGTTACACAAATTGTTATTTTAAGGGTATTTTTGCACCAAAATTGATTTTATTGTTTTAATTAATATATTTATATATTTTAATTAATATATTCTATTTTGGATAAAATATAATTTATATAAAATTTATATTTATTAATTATATTAACAAGTTCAGTTTTTTGCTATAATACTGATTTCTATAAAAATAGTAAAAATATAAAATTGAATAATAAAAATCAATCAACTATCTTAAATTAACTTAAATAAAATAATTTGATGAAATACTATTATTATATAAATTAAAATTATAGCAAAAGAGCTGAACCAAAATATTTTATATTACATTATAAATGAGATTATTAGTAATTATTAAAACATATGATTTTAATAGTCATTTAATATATTTGATTATATATTTGACAAACAATTTTTGCACTTAATTTTAACTCTAATTCATATTTTATTTGATATGAATAATTGAGTTTAAATTTTGCACTATTTTAGTATATCGTTAATAATAATAATATTTTATTTAAATTTCTATAAATTATAAAAAATATATACAAAAAATAAACTATATTTTTATATTTGTTAAAATTAAACAAAATTATTATTTAACTAATTATTGAATCAATAAATAATTTAATTAACATTTTAATTATTTCATTGATAATTATACAGTAAATGACTTTTTGATGTCATAACTGAAATAATGTCAATATATTGACATTTGTCTGCATTAGGTATACAAAAGACATCTATTACTTGAATGAGTGGTCAAAGCGTGGAAGTGGTGGACACAGTAGTCTTCAAACTGTATACAAAAAACTAAAATATGATGAAAACTACCGGTGCTTATAGTTAACAAAGTTGATGACAGATGACGTGCTATTGGATGTGTTCACAAGTGATGCCATTGTGTTGACAGCGATTGTGATAAAAATGGCGGTACTTTTGCCACAAATTGTGGCCGACGTGTGAAACGCCGGCAACCGATCGGACACTTCAATGAATCACTGATTCTGGACATCACTTAACTCTTCAACTATTACTGACTGTTGACTTTGGTTATCACATAATCAGTAGTCATGTCTTCAGACGAGAACAGCAGTGATACAGACGACTCGTTTGAGACGAAAATAAAACCATCGGCTAAAACAAAGAAGAAGAAGGATTGCGGAAAGTTATCCATTGAAAGGATATACCAGAAGAAGACTCAGTTGGAACACATCCTTCTCAGACCTGATACTTACATCGGTTCCGTCGAGAAGGAGACAAAGGTTTTAACATTAGTTTTATATTGAATTTGTATTAAAATTAAATTATAATAATCAATGTCTTTGACAACAACAGCAAATGTGGGTCTTTGATGAAGAACAAGGGATGCAATTGAAAGAGATTTCATACGTTCCCGGAATTTACAAGATATTTGATGAAGTGTTGGTCAATGCGGCCGATAATAAACAACGAGACAAAGGCATGAATTGCATTCGCGTTGATATTGATCCGTAAGTGTTCAACAAATTGGATCCTAAAATATGAATCAATTTATTAATGTATTGATTGATACTAATTGTGACCCAAAATAGTGAGAAAAATGAAATAACAATTTTCAATAACGGAAAAGGCATTCCTGTGATTGAACACAAAGAAGAGAAAATGTTTGTTCCGACCCTTATATTCGGTCATTTGCTGACCTCATCCAACTATGATGACAACGAAAAGAAAGTGGTCGGCGGTCGCAACGGTTATGGAGCCAAACTGTGCAATATATTTAGTACCAAATTTAAAGTGGAAACGAGTTTTAAAGAGTATAAGAAGGCATTCTCTCAGATCTGGACGGATAACATGATGAACACAAAAGACCCAAAAATAACGACGTCTTCGGGAGAAGATTTCACACGAATCACATTTTCTCCGGATCTCTCAAAGTTCGGAATGACTCAACTCGACAAAGATATCGTTGCTTTGTTCTCTCGACGGGCTTATGACGTGGCCGGCAGTACTAAAGGTGTTAAAGTATTTTTAAATGGTAAACGACTTCCAGTTATGGGCTTTAAAGACTATGTCGAACAGTTCATTAAAGACAAAGAAGATGATACTGGAAATCCATTGAAGATGGCGTACGAACAGGTGAGCGACCGATGGGAGATTGCCTGCACTGTCAGCGATAAAGGATTACAACAAATTAGTTTTGTCAACAGTATTGCCACCACAAGAGGTGGTAAACATATTGATTATATTGCCGATCAAATTGTGCACAAAATGGTTGATATTATTAAAAAGAAAAACAAAGCCGGAATTAATATCAAACCGTTTCAAATTAAAAATCATTTGTGGATTTTTGTCAATTGTCTCATTGAAAACCCGACATTTGATTCGCAAACCAAAGAGACAATGACTTTACAACAAAAGAGTTTTGGTTCCAAATGTGTTCCTTCAGATAAATTCTTTAATGCTGTCAATAAAACAGGAATCGTTGAGTCAGTGATGACTTGGGTTCGATTCAAAGCACAGACTGAACTTTCCAAACAATGTCACTCAAAAAAACAGTCAAAATTGAAAGGTATTCCCAAACTGGAAGACGCCAACGATGCCGGAACTAAACACTCAATTGATTGTACATTAATTCTCACTGAAGGAGATTCAGCAAAATCTTTAGTTGTCGCAGGTCTGGGAGTTATAGGTCGCGACAAATACGGTGTATTTCCTCTAAGAGGAAAAATGCTTAATGTTAGAGAAGCGACTCATAAACAAATTCTGGAGAATCAAGAAATCAATAATTTGATTAAGATTTTAGGTCTTCAGTATAAAAAACAATACGCAAGTATTGATGATTTGAAAACATTACGTTACGGCAAATTGATGATAATGACTGATCAGGATCAAGACGGGTCACATATTAAAGGTCTACTCATTAATTTTATTCATCACAATTGGCCAAAACTTCTTGAGCTAAACTTTTTAGAGGAATTTATTACTCCAATTGTCAAAGTGTCAAAAGGTAGTGAAGTCAAGTCTTTTTATAGTTTACCAGAATTTGAAGAATGGAAGAAAGAAACGTCTAATTGGAATAATTGGAAAATCAAATACTATAAGGGTTTGGGCACTTCCACTGCCAATGAGGCTAAAGAATACTTTTCAGATATGATAAGACATAGAATTAAATTCAAATATTCCGGTACTGATGATGACTTAGCAGTTAAGTTGGCATTCAGTAAGAAATTGGTTGAACAGCGAAAGGATTGGCTAACAAATAGTATGGAAGAGAGAAAAAAGAGACGAGAGTTAGGTTTACCCGAAGTTTACTTATATGAGAGCAATACTAGAAGTGTTTCATATAAAGACTTCGTCAACAAAGAGCTGATTTTATTTAGTAATATGGATAACGAGCGATCCATTCCTTCATTAATGGATGGCCTTAAACCAGGACAAAGAAAAGTGTTGTTTACATGTTTTAAAAGAAATGACAAACGAGAGGTTAAAGTGGCACAACTGGCCGGTAGTGTTGGTGAGCACAGTGCCTATCATCACGGAGAAGCATCACTCATGTCAACCATTATAAACTTAGCGCAAAACTTTGTCGGCAGTAATAACATTAATCTTTTGCAACCAATTGGACAATTTGGTACTCGTCTGCAGGGAGGCAAAGATGCCGCCAGTCCTCGATATATCTTTACAATGTTGAGTCCATTGGCTCGTAAAATATTCCCAGCATTAGACGATCCGCTACTTAATACTCTTATGGATGACAATCTTAAGATTGAACCCGAATATTATGTACCGATTTTGCCAATGGTTTTAGTGAATGGCGCTGAAGGTATCGGAACGGGTTGGAGCACTAAGATTCCGAATTACAATCCAAGAGAAATTGTTCAAAACTTAAGAAGAATGATTAGAGGAGAATCAACTGAAACAATGCAGCCGTGGTTTAAAAATTTTCGCGGAAATATTATTCAAATTGATTCACAAAAATATGTTATTAATGGAGAGGTTGGCATTTTGAATGATAAATCATTTGAGATAACAGAGCTTCCGGTTAGGGTATGGACTCAAACATATAAAGAATCGACTTTAGAGGTATTACTTCACGGAACTGAGAAAACTCCATCATTTATAAATGAATACAAAGAATATCACACGGAATCGACTGTTAAATTTATAGTCAATCTTTTGGAAGCGAATCTTAAAAAATCATTGGACACCGGAATTCACAAGACATTTAAATTACAATCAACACTATCTACTACATCAATGGTGTTGTTTGATCACAATGGATGTCTTAAGCGTTACGATTCACCAGAAGAGATAATTGAAGAATACTTTCCGGTTAGACTTGAATTTTATGCAAAACGAAAAGCTTATTATGAAGGAAAACTCGAAGCCGAAGCTCTAAAGTTGGAAAATATGGCCAAATTTATACTCGAGAAGAATGATGGAACCATTCGATTAGAAAACATTAAGAAAAAAGATTTTATTCGACAATTAATTGATAAACGATATGATTCAGATCCAGTGAAAAGCTGGGAAAAGAAATACAAAGACGGCGACGACGCCGAACCAAGTGATGATGAAAACGACTATTTTTCATATGATGACAGAAATGATGACACATTAAAGAAGTATAACTACGACTACTTGTTTGATATGAAAATGAGTTCAATGTTGAGGGAAAACATAGAACGACTACTTAAAGAAAGAGATACCAAAAAACAAGAATTAGAAGATTTAAAGAGAATGACTGCTGAAATGCTTTGGGAAAAAGATTTGACAGACTTTTTAGAAGAATTAGATCGAGTCGAAGACAATGAACGACAGGTCTCGTCGAAACCTATAAAGTCGGCCAAATCGGGAACAAATAAGTCAAGAGGTGGTACCACAAAATCAACCTCAAGACTCAGCTATGAAGCCAAACCTTCAGATTTTGCCGAAAGAATTGAACCAAAAATTGATTTCGAGATCTATAAGAAAAGTGATAAAGCAATTAAAAAAGCAATTGAAAAGAAAAAGACAAACAATGAAAAAGACAGCGAAAGTGATGACGACTTGGGACGATCCCTATCAGAGAGAATCGGCGTTTCGCCACAAATTATTGATGAAAAGAGAGGTAAAAGTAAAACCATTAAATCATCACTTATTACTGATTTAAGTGAAGATCTCAACAATGAAAAGCCGATTAAGAAGAAACAAACGAAAAAGAGTGAGAAGAATGAGAAGAGTGAGACAAATAAGAAGAAGAAGAAAGGAGAAGACAAGAAAAAGAAAAAGAAGAGTCCGTGGTCTGACTCAGAGTCTGATGACGAACAAGATTATGATTTCCATGAAGACAGTGATGATGAAGATAAAAGTGAATACATACCTTCTAATACTAGTACTCGCATTGTCTCTAAACCAAAAACAATAACCGAAGACATAAATAAAGAAGATTTTGTTTCATTGAATTCAATCAGTGATCAAAAGAAAGAAGAGTTAAAAAATACAATCATTAAGAAGAGTGCTTTTGTGGACAGCGATGACGACTTGTTTAGCACTTCAACCACTAAAACAGTTTCTAACAAAAGGACGAGTGAAGAACTCTTTGACTCACTTTTTACCAAAAATGATAAATTAAATGATAATCAAAATGGTATTAAAGAATCTAAAAATGGAATTAATAACAATCATATCGATAGCGATGATAGCTATGAGAGAGAAAATGACAAAAAACAAGAATTGGAGACAATATTTGAAAATAAACCGACGAAGGCGTCGAAGAAAGCTTTTGATTCTGATTCAGATAAAGAGTTTGAATTAGATTTGGAAACCAAACCTAAACTAAAAGCCACGAAAGCTTCGAAAAAAGCTTATGATTCTGATAACGATTCGTCAAAATCTAAGCCAAAAAACAATAAAAAGGCGTCAAAATCTAAAAAGAAGAAGAAAACAACAGATACTGAAGAATCGGAAGAAGAGAAACCGAAAAAGAAAAAGGTATTTAAATTAATTACAAATAATTATATTTGTTTTATATCAGTATTTAATAATAAATTGTATTATTATTTAGTCCAAAAAGGGTGTCGAAATGATAGATGGTTTTGAAATACCTCCCGAATTAAGAGAAAAGTCAGGTCGAGTGCGACAACCCGTTAAATATAATTTCGGTGACGACTCCGATGATTAAACCATACAATAATAATATATTAATAATTCTTTTAATATAAACTTTTGTACTGCAAATACTACTTTTTAAAAAATTTTAAGTTTATTTTTATTCATTTTTAGCGTAATCTCAAAAAAACATTTTGTAATATAAATACAATCATTTCTTTTATTTAATTGACTTATTTATAATTTACATTCATTTTTTTCTGACAAAATAAAAATCATATTTATTTCCTATATTTGTTAATTATTATAAATAACTTATTATTTTTTGCTTATTATTAATTAATCACATTTTGACATTTTATGTATAAATTAAATTCAATAAAATTGTTTTTGTGTATAAAAACCAAATAATATATTGTTAATAACAACATAAATGATCTAAAAAAAAGTTTATAAACATTTAAAAGTTAAAACTAACAAATTATAAGATATTTAAGCTTATTATTGGAGTCAAGTTATAACTACTAATTATTGCTAGAATTAGAGCTCATTTAAGCTTTAAAAGTGTTATTTTAGACAATCATTGAGTTATGAATTGACAGACAGACAGATAAGGTCTGTGCCATCGATGCGTTGAAACACTATTACTAACTATTCGCTCAATTAATTGCCAGCAAATCCATCAATAAGATGACAATCACTACATTCACTCAATTCATTACATACACTAACCCTTACACTAACTCATCTCTCTTTTGATTATTTTAAGTCAATAAACAACAAAAATGCTAATGATTTTAATAATTATACAACTCTTTGAGCATTTATTTTATTTTTTATGTACAGTATATGTATTAACACTTAAGTACATTTTGATTGCTCACAATTTTTTATCAGCTTTTATATTGTTATTTTGTTTTTAATGTTTTATACATATTTGTAAACTCATAATTCAAGAATTGTTAATTTATTAAAATATTTTATTGGCAAACAAAAGTTTTTATTGTTTTGTTTTTCTAACAAGTTTGATGACTAAATTGCTAAAAAAGTATGAACTAATTTGAAAATTGTAATATAAATAAAATTTTGAAAATTATAACTTAGATTTTCACATAAAAAACTGAATCCAAACAAAGTTAATATGATATAAGAAAATAAAACAAACAATTATTATTTAAAAAGATAGTGTTAATTGCTGTTATGCTTAACTGATTTGAAGTCAATATAATTTTTTTGTTGGTCATTACTTTTATGATACAGTATTATGATTAAGAAAACTACTTATACTAATAAACTATACATAATATATAATATATAATTCATATTCAAAGTGCATGTGAAATGTTTTCAATTGAATTATTTTGAAACTTATTTTTTTGTTTTTAATTATTTATAAATTTGCATTAATTTGATTTGCATTTTTTATAGATTAATTATTTGAATTACATTTGTTATTGTAAACTATTTTTCTTATATACATTATTATGCAATATATTGACTATTTTTGTATGTCTATAATTTAAATTTTATTATCAAATAATATTCAGTAGGAAATTTATATAGTAGTTCAATGTATTTAATAACAAATAACATATAAATATTATTATATATTGTTTATATAAGTTTCAAAACAATTTTATTCAAATTAGTAGAGTTTTTAAGTATAATATATGACAGATAGCATAATCAATCTGTTATTAGTGTAACATATCTTTAATTATTTTAACTTTCTGTCAAATTATGTAAACTTTATATGTTTGTGATATTGCTATAAAAAATTTGATATAACGTTGAGAGTTGTATTCAATTTTTGCAGTCAATTATGAGCTAATAATAATAATAATAGCAATAATAGTGATATTGAGGTGCACTCAATGTCTGCATACTCTACCCATTTTGCCGCCCATTGCATACACGCTCCCAATGGTAGACCCCGAGTGATGCCATCGATCATTACAAAGTAGACACCACTCGTAATTAAGGAGGTGTTCACTAATGCTAATCAATATAATACTACAAATTTATGTATCAAATTCATAATAATTTAATATTAGAAAAGATACTATTATTTTCTTATGCTTTACTCTATTAATCAACTCTTTATTATTCAATTTATGGTAAAATATGGCTTTTAATACTATATAAAGTATACAATTTTACTTTACTTACAATTTTTTTAAAATAGATAACAACATAAATAATGAATATTTTTGATAATTTGTTATAAACCTTAAATGATTACATAATCCACATTCCTTAACAATTTTAATATAATCTATGACTAAAATTATTTTTTTTATTGTCATTTTAACTTTATTTAACATTTTACAAATTAATTCAAACCTTTAAAAAAAATATTCAACAAATACTGCAAATTATAATATTGTATATTAAATTGTATATTAAATTATATATTAAATTATATATTAAATTATATATTAAATTATATATTAAATTATATATTAAATTATATATTAAATTATATATTAAATTATATATTAAATTATATATTTAAAAATTTTAATTTAGAATATTTAGATGATTATCTAGATTATTGCATAAATATTAAGCTTAATGACAATTATTGTACATTTATGATAATTATTATTTACACATTTATTAAAGCATATATGTCTTTATAAATCTATTATTTAAACTATACTTTAAGTAAGATAATTAAATTAATAATTTATATCATGTTAATTTATGAGATAAATAAATCAATTAAGATCATTATTTTTTAGTTTTATGAGCAAAAATGTTAAAAATAATAAATATTTTTATTTCTGAATAAGTTATGAATTGCAAAATTAAACAAAAAATAAATTTATTATATGTTTGAAAACAATAATAGCAACAATTTCAATGCACACATAAGGTATATAATTTTTAAAATTAAATTAACAATAAAACAATTTAAATAATAAATATAATGAAATACAAAATATTACATTTTTATAAAATTCAGTACTAATTATATAAACATAACATTAAATTTATAGTTTATTATATAACAAAGTATATTCTTTGTTTTATTTATTATATGCTTATCATATATTAAATAAATAATAACAATTAGATAACATTATATAATTGCTATAATGATTTTCTATTAATCTTTTTAAAATATCAAGTTATAATATAATATTATACATATTATTTATAGCTCACAAATAAAAAATATAATATTAAAATAATAAAATAAATTTAAATAGAAAAATATTATTATGCATTTAGTTGTGATTAAAATAACTAATAATAAAATAAATATAATTAAGATAAACATATATAAGAAATATTGCTATATTTGATATCATGTTAAGTGACATTCCATACAATGATATTAAAAAACTAATCAATAATTTTTGAATATTATATGCAATTAAATTCAAAATCAATTGAGATTAAAAAACTTTAGTTTAATAATAAATTTAATAAAATGTAATAATTTATATTCAGTTGTGTAACAGTACGGAGAGTCTCATTAAAATAATGGGCGCACCTCTGCATTGCCTTTACATTACTATACAAAACCATTCATTGATTTGCATATAATTCTCATTTAAATAAATAAAATTTACACAAAATATTCAAATACTGCTTCCATTCGTTAGTTATTGAGTTTGCAGACCAAACACACAATCATTGGAGACAAATATTTGAGATTTATATAACATATAAAACATATTATTCCTATCATTTGAAATTGTTATATAAATTTATATTATAATACTATAAATTCTAAGATATATTATTGCTATTGTATTTACATTGCTATAATACAGTATATAAATTATATTGACTTATTGTTTAATATGATATTTTTTTATTTATTTGTTGTGATGCTATAGATTTGACTGATTTATGTTTGATAAACAACTGATCTGTAAAGACATGAGTTTAAAGACATTTTTTGAAGAAGTAATTAATTTTTGAATGAGATTTAATTGGTTGCAGACAATGGTGTGGAAGCATATAATTGTGTGACAAACAAATAACGCGAACAATGAATTAGACAAAAGTTGGTTTAAGAAAAAACATATTCAGATATGAGATAATCGGCATATAATAACTCATTTGAAACTTTGAATTCTTTGATTTCAGTTCAAAGTTGTCCCAAAATAAATGCGAAAATAATTGCTTTAATAAAAAACACTTGAAATGATATTTAAGGAAATGAAAGTCAAGCAGAATATGTGCTTAATTTGATGGCAATACTACTCTAGAGTTTGATTAGGAAAGACATAAGCCGTTGGTTTCTCATAATTGTATACCATTTTTAACGACCATTACTTTATAAATCACTATTACATCACATTTCTCATTAGTGAAACAATGTTTGACTAAATATATGGTATAATAGTATATAAATATTTCATATCAAACATATTTGAAAGCTTTAAGCTTTTTATAAAACTATTTAGTTTTTATTTCATATATAGAAAAACAAAAACTATAAATGTAAAAAAACAAATATACAATATTTGAAATAATTTTGTCTACATATTATTAATTCAAAATTTTCATGATTCAAAAACTTTATATTATATATTATAAAGTCTACCGGTATATATATATATATATATATATTTTAAATTAATATTAAAAATAAAAAATTTGACAGAAAGTGCAGTAATATTAAAAATATAAAATAATTGTACAAAATATCATACTTTTATTTGAGTATCTTTTATAAAGTAACAAAATATATAATATTAAATAAAAAATAACTAACCTATAGCTGAGATATCAGTTTGTGGTTTAATAATAATAACAGTGAATTTAGAGGCAAAAAACTGATATAATATATTGAATGTAAATGTAATGCATTGGAGGATAATAATGGAGTTTTGAGGGTTCGCTCAACCATTGACTACATATATCAGACAATTGAATGATTTTTTGGTTTTTCCTCAAATTGTTGTCAAAAGAGAGACACCGGAGAGGCCTTGGATGCTGAGCTGTGCTGGTCTACAGTTCCACATATAATGTATATTATATTTATATATATATATTGTGTTGAAAATAAATGCTATGAAAGAAACCACTAATTTTAAAGTTGAGAACTAAAAAAACGAAACTACTTTTCCCATAGTATTGAAATAAAACAAATTAAAGGGACAGTCAGTTAATTATAATAATGGAGTAGTAAAACACACTTACATTATACT